AACGAAAAAGAGAGAAAAAGCCTTACATGGAAACGAAGGATGAGGCGGCGGCAACGAACGGCGACGGTGGTGGTGGTGTACAAATCTATGTGGAGACGATGGTGGTGTAAAGAGAGAGAAATCGATAGAGACAACGAACACGAGAAATTAATAAATTACTAACCGAGTGAATCAGCAATAGTCATATTCGAACCAGACTATAGTCACGTTAATGCTTCTGCTCCAGATCTGGAGAAAAAAAAATCGAAAATAACGAAAAAGAAGGAGTGGGATGCGACGACAACAACGGTGAGTGAAAGAGAGAGTGGGGAACAAACAATAAATTCATAAAATCACTAATCGAGTGAATCAACAATAGTCATAATTATTAACAGAACAGTGAGAATATGACTATTATGTGACTACTCTGTAAATCGAAATAAAATGAAATCAGATACAACTCGGACGACACAAACCCCATACATTTTGCTCTGAACAAAACAAACGCTCGTAAATTGCGAACCAAATATTATAATCCATAGGCTAAATTATAAAAAAAAAAAAAAAAAAATCCAATTCCAAACAATTTCTGATATTTTTCACCCAACTTTTCTTCAACACCAATCACATAGCTCCTCTTCCACGTGGATTTTTAGAGCACTTATTTATGCAATACATAACTAAGCACAAACACCGTTAACTTCACACCTTCAAAAGTATACACACAGTTACATATACATATAGACAATAAGATTAGGAAAAAATACAGTGATCCAATTTTTGGTGATCGGATCTTCTAATCGAAACAATATTCTCTAGTCTCATGTCAAAAAGAAAAAAAAAAGAGAGGAGATGAGAAGAGATTGAGAACGTGAGAGAGAGAGGGGGAGTGAAGGAGTGAAATAAATTATATCACGTTAAAAACCTAATCACATAAGGGCACTTTAGTCTTATCAAGTATGGTTAGGGGTGTCTCACTAATTAAGAATGAAACTTGGGTGTAGGCAAAAGTCTTTAATAGTCAATTGGGTTTAGTTCAAAATATTTTCCATTTGAGGGGGCTATTGCATATTTCCCCTATATTTTATTACATTCACTTAATTAACTACAGGAAAATAAAAATAAAAAAAGAAACAGGTAAAGTTGAGAAGAAAAAATCTATAATCAATAATCATCAAAGAAGGCATAAGTTAGCGAAGCCAGGATTTGAAGTACGCCGAAAAACTTTCTAAGGAGAGGCCGTAAATGTAAATTATACATGAAAATTTCAATTTCTATATATCTCTACAAAATAATAGGGATTTGAAAAATGTTGGGGGCTCTATGCTGGCTCGCTCGCTCTAGAATTTCCTTAATTAGCCGTGCCGTGCCTGGCGATGATGATTTTCGATCCTTTTTTCTTCTTTGCAACGAACGAATTAATCATAAAACAAAAAAAATATAAATAAAAAAAACAAATTTGAACTGCAGTTTCTGTTTAGTGTATAAAGTGTCTCTGTCTCTCTCTAACATACTTGTCCTATTTTGCAACCCAAAGCACCGGCAAATTTGGTCATAATCTCAACCTGAGTGGCCGATGCCGCCTGTATAAGATCGTACTTCTCCGGGTGCTTGCTTGTATACGTTGGATCACCCGATTGAACAAAGAATGCTCCTCTCAAGAATATATCTCCCTCCGATCTCCATATCCACTGGCTCCACACCGATTCCGGCGAATATTCCCTCTTCGTCACCTGCAAAAATTAGTTAATTTTTTTGTGTCCTGTATATGTTTCATCATATGTGTATGTATGTATATGTGTATATATAATTATATATACATACCTCCTTGGCAAAAGGGTTGTCTGGGGGAGCAATGAATCTGTTGCCCTGACTGATGATGATAGGGTTCTTGCTTCCACCAATGGCGTACATGTTCCAGTGGGTGTAGTCGTTGTTGACCACGTGGATGTAACCGAATCTGCAACGTGGCATCCTCTGGACGAGCCTCTTCCCGAAGTGGTTGAACGCCACCGTGATCTGCATCTTCACGTCCTGCGTGTGGCTGTCGCTCGCCCCGAACAGCATCGCCTCGTTGTGGTCGGTGAAGTGGCCGTTGGATATCGTGATCCCAGTCGACCCCATGATCGCGTCGATCAGCCCGTCGCTGCAGTTGGTCATCGACACGTGGTCGATCCAGATGTCCTGCGCTCCGTAGATCGATATACCGTCACCGTCGCTCCTCGTCCGGAACCCGTAGTGGTCGACCGAGTCCCTGATCATGCCCCCGTCCCCGGGGACTATGTCGTGGATTAGTAATCCGTGGATGATTATGTTCTTCACGAACTGGATTGTGATCCCGGCGCCGCCGGTGATGTGGACTCGCACGCCGCGGCCGTCGATCGTCTTGTCGCTCTGCATGATCAGCTCCTGGGAGAGGCGGATCACCATGCTCCGGGAGAAGATGATCCAAAGTGGCTCCGTTTGGATGACCGCATGGCGAAGTGTTCCCGGAATCGGGTTGACCATGTCGCTGTCGGAGGAGTCGTTGACCACGTAGATACGGCCACCTTTCCCGCCCTTGGCCTTGTATCCGAATCCCAAACCGCAGTCGGCCAGCCTGAACCGGTTGTCGGCCCAATTTGCTTGGCATCTCCAGCAACGGTCGATTGGGTTTGTCGCCATGCAAGGTCCATCGTAGCCGTGTGCTAAGTGCCTACGGCTACTGTTGGAAACCAATTCCAGGTCTTTTATTTCCTCTAGTGCCCTGCAAGATTTACATAATCACAAAATTAACCCTTTACTATTTTTTCTAAAATATTCCAATTCCAATTCCAATCCAAATTCTGACTCATATATACCTGGTGGAATGTAGATTCAAATGACTGACGATTTTAGCAGGATGCGGCTCGTAGGATTCGAGAGTGTTGTTCCATGCCTGCACACTGCGCTTGACCCAATATTCGTCGGAATCTAAGAAATTAGCGCTAATGCTCGGTAGAGCATACGCAAATGCGATCGACAAGAACAATAAACCCATCTTGCGAACCATCTTTCTCTCTATATATTTATTGATTTTTTTCGATTTTTATTTTATTTTATTTTGATGAATGCCGACGGTCTGGGGTCGAAGCCTAATTAGCGGTGATGGGGTTCAACACAACCAGACCGAAACACACATTCAAATTTATTAAAAGGGGCTTTTTTATTTAAATGCAAAGAAGCACAAAACCGCTTTTATTCTGTTTTTCATTATGGTGCGAGGATTGGTTTATATAGTGGATATTTCCCGCTAAAATTGGGGTTACCCACTTGCTTTTAGTGGTTGTTACTCATGCATATTCAGATTTTTTTGTTTCTCCATGTGTTTTCATAATTCTTCATTTTTCTATGTTTAGTACTATACTATAATAGGCAAATTAAATACCAATTTATTTTGTAAATAAAAATATATAATTTTCAAAGAAATTAAAAACACACATTTAAATTGGGATCATTTGATACATATGATCATGAATCAAGTTGTTATTCACCAACATATATAAATTTTACTGAATCTCCTACTTCATAAACAGCATCACATTTCGCGGGCCCCACCCCAGACGGCGGCAAATCATTCTTCGTCGAGCCTGACAATAGTCAGTATTTGACCATATATTAAAGTGTCGTATCCAAAATCATCTTAGATAAGGAAAAATATATTTCGATGTTGTTTTTTTTTAAATATTGGATTTTTCAAGATAAATTTATACAATCTTATTGTAACTGAATAGTACAATTGAACTAACTACATCCACTACATGATTCTCCAATAACTAAGATAATAATTTATTTATTTTCCTTCATTTTTGTGTAAGGTGGTGTTTGCAAAAAAAACTTATGTAAAAAAAGAAGTTAATGATTGTGAGTTAAGTCGATTTTAAGCTGAAAAATCAACTTAAATTGAAAATGCAGGTCCCAACCTCAAAAGACACGTTAACAGATAGAATTGCGTGGTACACACCAATTATTATTATTATTATTATTATTATTATATATATATATATATATATATATATGTGGATTTTATCCTGCATGTATTAAGGTGTAGAAGGAGGGAGATCAGATTTTCTTCGCTGGCACAAATCTTTATTAGTTGTTTCAAATCCATGTTTAACTTAATTTATTCACATTTCCCCCCAATTCGCATAAATAGTACAAACCATTAAGCTGTCAAAATCTTAGTCGTGCTTGATTAAAAAATAAAAAATAAAAAAAGATGTTAATATAATAGTGATGTAGTTCATACTCATCCTCAAAACGTGGAAGTAAAATATTCTAGTGTGATTGAATGAAATTATAGGTGAATAAAAAAGGGTTGAAATTGGATCTTTTTCTCCAAAGTGTGTTTTGGAAATTAAATTTTGATCGATAAAAATATATAATAGTTATGAGTGGTGAAACTGATAAACGGAAAGAATCATCGATGCCGCCGAAGTTGAAAATCGCGATGCTTGTAGTTGGAACAAGAGGAGATGTTCAGCCTTTTCTCGCTGTGGCAATGAGACTTCAGGTTTATTTTATTTTTTTTGATTAAATTTCTTTTAACCGACATTTTTCTTATAACCAAATGTATTTGTGTGACCACCAGGAACATGGTCATTACGTGAGATTGGCAACACATGCTCGATTCCGTGATTTTGTGAAATCTGCAGGGATAGATTTTTACCCACTTGGAGGAGACCCTCTGGTTATGGTTGAATGTAAGAGCTTCTTCGAAATAACTAATTTTATTTTATTTTTACGACTAATTCTATTAGTGAACGAACCTATGTTATTTTACGAAAGATATAGTATTAATTCGTGTCTAATGAAAATTGTAGTTCTAGTGCGAAATAAACATATTATTGCGGCACCAGGAGATCGAGTTATACTACTTGAACAGCTAAAGGCCATTATCGACTCTGTCCCCTTAGCATGTACAGAACCGGACCCAATAACCGGTGAACCTTTCACGGCTCAGGCTATTATTGCAAATCCTCCCGCTTATGGTTAGTTATTTTTTTCTATATTTTCTCTAGTTGGTTATACATCGTTTTTCATTTATATTAATGTTGTTATTTTAACCAGGACGTGTGCATGTGGCTGAAGCTCTTGGTGCTTCTCTGCACATATTCTCCCCAATACCTGGCACGTAAGTTTAAACTGTTGTCCCGATCATGTTTGTCTGACTTTTATTATGTCTAGTTAAAAAAAAGAAAAAGTGAAAAGAAATGCTTACAAGTCGGGTGAATATACAGGCCTACGAATGCGTTTCCTCACCTATACATGCAAATACCTTTAAGTGCTGGATACTGGGTATGTTTTTTTTTTTTCCCTTATTTTTTAGGTATTTCAGTCCGGATAAGCTAATCTTGCTTTGATCCAGCTATCTTATATTTTTGCGGATTTAATGGTGTGGTGGGGCATAAGAGAATTCGTCAATGAATTCCGAAAAAAGAAGTTGAATCTTGCTCCTATTTCATACTTCAACACAGACCATGTCTCAATTTCTCATCTCCCAACGGCCTATACGTGGAGTCCCCTTGTGTTGCCCAAGCCCAACGGTTAGTGTTCGATTATTCTTGCTTACATTTTTAATAGCTTTAACAAACTACTTATTTTATGACTAATTCGCCAGATTGGGGCCCTCTCGTTGATGTTGTTGGTTACTGCTTTTTGGATCTTGGATCTAAATTCATACCACCTGAAGATTTTGTTCAGTGGATACAAAATGGAACCAAACCCATTTATTTTGGATTCGGAAGCACGGTATCGTCTCATGTTATGCACATTTAAATCTTATTATGTGTTGGGATCCGGTTGTAATAATAATTATATATTCAGACATCCAAAATAAAATTTGAGCAAGGTACTGATTTTCGTTTACCCTTTTATCCCCGACAAGCGTGTGATAATAAGTAAAAGAACGGATTTATGATTTATCTTGAACACCGAGTATTCACTACCACTATTCCACTGCTGTCTTTTAGATTAGTTGATTATACAATAGTGAATAATACAATTGAAGCCAACAAAAAAAAGATGTGATATATACCTTCAGAACATGTTTTAAGTTTGTTATTGAAAGCAGAAAGATGATTTGCTTTCGATTATTTGCTTTTTAAGCTTCTCGACGAACCTGAAAAGATGATGGATATCATTTTGGAGGCACTGAAGAATACAGGGCAGAGAGGAATCATTGATCGAGGGTGGGGGGACCTTGGCAGCACACGTAAGTTTTTTATTTATTTATTTATTATTATTTGGCATTTAATCTCTGCTTCCTCCGTTAGTTTCCTGTATGAAATTTTTGTTTTAAACTGTTGGTAATTTTTCTGTTACAGATCGGAATATTCCAGAAAACGTATTCTTTGTTGCTGATTACCCTCATGACTGGTTGTTTCCTCAATGTTCTGCTGTGGTGAGTTCAAAAAGACGAGTTAAGATTATTGCATATCAATTCTGAAAGATTTATACACATGCGTATTCATTCGTTCGTTGGTTTTTCATATTCTTGTGTGAATTAAGGTTCATCACGGTGCAGCTGGAACTATAGCTACTGGACTCAGAGCAGGGGTAACTAATTACTCAGGATGACTTTTTTATATTATTATTATTATATAGTGTAACGAATTATAATTTTTTTTTTATTTTTTTTATGTTGTTATTGTTGTTGTTGCAGTGTCCGACTGCTGTAATACCGTTCTGTGGGGATATGTTTCTTTGGGGGAAAATACTCCATAAGAAAGGATTGGCACCTGCCCCGATTCCCATGTCACAGCTCAGTGTTGAATCGCTTTCGGAAGCAATTACATTCATGCTCCAACCGAAGGTTAAACTCCGATCAATGGAATTAGGACAACTTATTCAGAGAGAAGATGGTGTTGGAGCTGCTGTCGAAGCATTTCACCGCCACCTGGAAACAGATATTTCATCACCAAAACCATCGTTGAAAAAAGTGGACCCCTCAAATCCCGTGCATTGGCTTTTCACTCAGGTCGGGAGGTTTTTGGCGCCCACTGGATTAAAAAAAAATCGGAATCATTTCGATAATCTGTGAAATTCGAATCGGTTTTTATTGGAATTGTTACGAGTAAGAACCAAAGTTTGCAGGAGAGAGTGATGATACTATGATGAGTTATAGAGGTGACTTGTGGAAAACATGTTTAATTTCAGCACAGCCTGTGTAAGAAATTTTTATACAAAATGTATTAATTTGTTCTCAAATTAGAATCCTGTATGAATCGTGTTTGTGAATTCTGACTCTTGTTTAAAGTGATGAACGACTTTAGACTATTAAAATGAGGACTGGAAGTTTACTTAAGCTACAGTTTAATTCAAATTTAATTCTAAAACTTGAAGTGGTTAATTACTTATCCACCCCTTTTGAAGTCTAAAACATTTATTTATTCCTATTATTATGTGAAATATTTCCAAAAAAATAGTTCATATTTAATTCAACGGCAAATTACGGCTATCCCCTGAGGTATGCCAAATTACGAAAAAAATCCCCTTGTATGGGTAATTACAGTCATCCCTCATTTTAAATATGTTTACATAAAATTTATGTAATTCGGTTATTTACCGAACCAAATCTTATATTTAGTTCGGTAAACGGTATGAAAAGTTGGCGTATCAGAATTTCGGTTCGATTTTACCGAATTAATATCCCTAAATTTACCTCTGAAGGGGTCTTTTCATAAGATAATACATAGTTGAGGGATGACTGTAATTACCCACAGACAAGGGAGATTTTCGTAATTTAACCATAACTTAAGAGTGACTGTAATTTGCCCTTAATTCAAATATAGTTTTTAATCCAGCAGGCGTAAATAACCAGGTGTAGTATCTTGTTAATTCGCTTCCAAGATAAAAAATAATTATACTACATATGTGAGAAGTATATTATTTATTTATTAATTTTATATTCATTAGAAATTAAATGCACCCTAATAGGCTATTACAATACAAAATTGCAAAAAGCCAAAAACAAACAACACTAAACCAAAAATAAACAATATATACATCTTCATTAAATATTCGTGTATATGAATTCTCATTTGGCGCCGAATGACATGAACATGGCCAACATGCCAACCACGAACCATTCGGAATCTTACTAGTGCCAGCTCGACAATTTGCTGTTTCATTTATTTAATTTATTTTCGTTTAATTTGAGTATCACATTAATTGTTGTTCGCTGCTGTCAACTCAACTCCATTAACGTTAATCTCTCGTCTAATCTTCTTCTTCTGTCATTTCACCCAAGAACATTCCAGTAGCTTCTGTGTAATTAGGGTTTCATCCAATTTGGGGGAAAAACTTCTTCACCGTGTTTATTACATTATGGCTTATTACAACCAATCCATTCCAAAATTGAAGATCGCCATGCTTGTAGTTGGAACAAGAGGTGATGTTCAGCCTTTCCTCGCTGTGGCAAAGAGACTCCAGGTAATTCCCTGATTATTTAACTTAATTACCTATTTATAATATTATCTGACAATTTTACTATTTTTCATAAAAATATTATTTAATATTTAACTGATGATGAACTGAACTTATATGTGAGCACAGGAGTATGGTCATAATGTTAGGTTGGCTACTCATTCGCATTTCCGGGGATTTGTGAAGTCGGCCGGGGTAGAGTTTTACCCTCTCGGTGGTGACCCTCGTGTTTTTATCGGATGTAAGCACGACGTTCTTTAGTTACATATACATTAAATCGATATCGAGTAGCGGTGAATTTTTTTATAAAAAAATGTGTTACTATCCGTTGTTATAGATTTATCGAGAAATAAAGGACTTATTCCATCTGCGCCTGGAGAAATATGCGTATTGCATAAACAAGCGAAAGCCATTGTCGATTCTCTTCTTCCGGCATGCACGGAGCCGAATATCGTAACCGGTGAACCTTTTATGGCTCAAGCAATTATTGCAAATCCTGCTGCATACGGTAATTTGTCCGATTCTGAAAAAAATAATAAGAAATAATTTGTAATAATAATAATTAGTATATGATGTGTTGTTGTAATTAGGGCATGCATTGGCTGAAGCACTCGGTGTTCCTCTACACATCTTGTTCACGATACCTTGGACGTACGTTTTATTTTATTAATTAATAATTGTCTGATTTGTATTGTTCTGTCTTATTCTTATTAAAATTAAATGAATTTTGTGCGCGAAATGCACAGGCCGACATATGCATTTCCTCACCCACTAGCACGCGTACCTCAAAGTGCTGGATATTGGGTACGAGAATTACTTCAATTTTCGATTGGAATTTTGCATCAAGTTGATAAATAAATATGCTCCTTTTTGTAATTCGTGATCCAGCTCTCGTATATTTTTGTGGATTTACTGATATGGTGGGGCGTAAGAGGATTTATTAACGACTTGAGGAAAAATAAGCTACACCTTGCCCCTATTGCAACATACTTCGATACATACCATGTCTCGATTTCTCATCTCCCGACTAGTTATATGTGGAGTTCCCATATTCTGCCCAAGCCCAACGGTAAGTATTGGATTATTACTTCATTTATCGCATCTTGTTTATCAATTTAACTGTCCAAGATTCGTAGTTAATAAGCCTGCATTGATTTTATTGCAGATTGGGGCCCACTTGTTGATGTTGTTGGTTACTGTTTTTTGAATCTTGGATCTAAATACGAACCACCTCAAGAATTTGTTCGGTGGATGGAAAAGGGGGATAAACCGATTTATATTGGGTTTGGAAGCATGGTAAGGTTGTTTGTCTAAAAAAATTTACGTGCATATAGAAATATGATTATATTTGTATTTATTGCTTGGTCAAGCTTCTAGAAGATTCGAAAAAAGTAGCAGCGATAATTTTGGAGGCACTTAGGATTACAGGGCAGAGAGGAATAATCGATCGAGGGTGGGGAGACCTTGGCAGCACTCGTAAGTCTGGTTTTTTTTTTCAGTTTTTTTTTTTTTTTTTTTTGTTTTGGCATTTTATTAATTTCGCTCGACTATTAATTTCGTAAATTAAAACACAGATACAGATATGCCAGAAGATGTTCTCCTTCTTTCAGATTGCCCCCATGACTGGTTATTTCCGCAGTGCTCTGCTATTGTGAGTTCAATAAATCCGCCTAACTTTTGATTAAATTACGTCTTCTTCATATTCTAAAATTTGTTCGTCGAGATTAGAAATAATAATTGATTTTGTTGTGACAGGTTCATCATGGTGGAGCTGGAACTACAGCCACAGGACTCAAAGCAGGGGTTAGTTAGTTAGTTAGTTAGTACTCGTTTCGCTTCAAATGGTTATTACAATATATAATTACTACATGTTATATATAATAACTAATGAGTTGTACTATGTTGTCTTAATTTTACAATATGCAGTGTCCAATGACCATAGTACCGTATTTCGGAGATCAGTTTTTATGGGGAGAGAGAATCTACCAGAAAGGATTGGGACCCGCTCCGATTCCGATATCACAGCTCACCGTTCAATCTCTTTCAGAAGCTATAACATTCATGCTCCAACCCCAGGTCTATATATATTCATGTGTATATATATGTATATGTATATGTATTTTTATTTGTGGTGAATATTGATACTAAATAGATTATAATTTTCTAGGTAAAAAACCGAGCGATGGAATTAGCAGAACTTATACAGAGAGAAGATGGTGTTGGAGCTGCAGTCGAAGCGTTTCACCGACATTTGCCAACAGAGCTTCCAATGCAAAAACCATCGTCACATAAAGACGAAACCCCGAATCCGGTGCAATGGCTTTTCAGTCGGATCGGAAAATTATGCTGCCTAATTTGCTCTCCTTGAGACATTAATTTCAATTGTACATAGACTTACTTATTTGTTTAGTACATAAAAACATGCATTCATTTGTAAATTGTAATAGAAATTACAACAGTGAAGAAAACAGACATTCATCAATGTTACTTGTTCTATATTTTGACTGCAAAAACAACTATATCTAGGCATTAGTCCTAATACATTAAATTATTAATTAGCCTTTTTTCCCAGTTTTTTAAAATTTACTTATATTATAAATGTCAGGTAATTAAACAATATAATTAAACAATACAAGTATCCTGCCATTATTCATAGACAAACCAATTTATTTATTTACTCAAAAAAAAAACCAATTTATTTATAGGATTCTCTTTTTACAAAACCTGAATCCTATTAGGGTGAATAAAATAAAATAATAATAAATAAAAAAACATTTCACAAAAATAAAATAAAAAAAGAAAAAAGAAAAAGAAAAAAGAGATCATTAATTTGGCGGGAATTGGGTAAAATCCAAACCTATTTAGGGCTTCAAGACCCAATTTGTCAAGGTTGGCCCATTTTTTAAGCTCTATTTTTGGCCCAAACAAATGGTTTGTTCAAAGCGAACATCAATCAACATAATATTAATATTAATTGCCCGAAAGGTATTCGTTTAAATAAAAATTAACAATTGAGTCCTTCAACTTTGATTGCTTTGCCGCTTAAAACTGGGGTTTCCCACACGCCAAAAATACATTTATGATTTATGGTCCTTTTCCGTTGAGTCTACTTCACGGCGACGTCAATCACTAACTGCTATTTATACCTCCCCCTTTTCCTCACTCCCCTCTGAAAAATTAAAATTATAAAAACCCCCAAAAATGGCGGCGGTATCAGTAGCGGCGGCGATCCCCAGGGCAGTCGCCGGAGCGTTTCCTTCTCCGTCATCTGAGAACTCGAAGCGTTCCCACTTTTCCTCTCTTCAGTTCCCCTCGGAGCTCCGTACTTTCGGAATCCGAAATCAGCGCCTTAATTCTAAGCTCCGCCACCGTACGCTTACTTTGGTAATTATCATACATTTTCAAGTAGATGAGATCTATCAGAATTCATTTTCTTAATTTCATAATTTATTTCTCAGTTTTTTTTTTCAATTTATTCATTTAAGTAGGTGAAGAGCGATTAGCTCAGCCAAAATTAGTAAATTAGGTTAAATATGCATTTGGTAAATTTTGAATTGTTATGCTTTTGTTTGTAATTGAACTACTTGTCAACCTAAAGTACCTGATGATGGTGATGCTTAAAGGTGAAGACAAGGTCATAGAAAAACTCAAATAGTATATAGAGTTTCTAATTTGTATTTTTCTTAATTGTTTGAGCTCCATTATATCTCCATTTGATAAGTAAAACTAAAATTGTTTTACTGTTAATCGATCAGGTTGCGTCAAAGGCGCAGGAGTTGTCGTCTGATCTTGACGAAATATTGGACAATTCTGAGAAACCAGTATTGCTTGACTTCTATGCTACATGGTGATGTGCTTTTTTGATTGTTTTACGTTTTACGTTTTACGTTTTGGTATGAATTGACTTGCAATTATCGTAGTAGCTCTAAATATCTTCAATTGCACCTCGAATTTAAATTTACTAGGTGTGGTCCTTGCCAGTTCATGGCTCGTATATTGGATACAGTGAGTAGTTCAATGATAGATAAGATCCAAGTTGTGAAAATCGACACCGAGAAATATTCCAGCATCGCAGACAAGTACAAAATCGAGGCGTTGCCTACTTTCATCTTGTTCAAGGATGGGAAACAACTTGATCGCTTTGTAAGTAAAATCACTTCCTGAAAATGCTGTTTTACGATGTTTATAATTTTTTTATTTTTATTTTTCGATAATATATTTTAATTGTAATTCTGAATTTTCAGGAGGGTGCTATGGCTGCAGACCTGCTTATTCAACGAATCAAGGCTTCACTGTAAGTAGTAGTTTCAGCAGCTAATGGCGAAGTCGTGTACATGGTATTATTACGACATGGCTAATGAATGTCCTAAAGAAAGAAGTACTTGCTTAGGACAAGTCGAAAGCAGCTCCGGTTATCATGTTCGTTGCGGACAAAGGGAATGAGTAAACACTCTGCATTCATGAACAGAGCCTTGGTTACTTCAATTTGAATTATTGTTTATTATTACAGTAAAAGTTACAGAATTGTGGTGTGAGATTTTATTTTAATCAGTGTACAAATATTCCCCAAGTGAAATCAATGTATAGTTCATATTATAAAACTGAAAGATGATGAGACATGTTGTTATTACACTCAACTTCCACACAAACTTGTAAAAATCATTTTCCAAATAATAATGAGGGCAAATTACGGCAACCCCTGAGTTATGGTCAATTTACGAACCCCCTCCTTTTCCAAATAATAATAAGGGCAAATTACAGCAACCCCTGAGTTATGGTCAATTTACGAACCCCCTCCTGTTTGGGTAATTACAGTCACCTCCACAACTATGTATTATCTTACGAAAAAGTCTCTCAAGATGTAAATTTAGAAATGTTAAATTGGTAAAACCAATGTGGTTATACAAACACAAAATACCATCAAAATATTCAGACAAAAAATGTAGTAAATATTACTATTCATGTTACAGTTGGCTTTGACATTTGATCTAATTCAAGGAGGTTTAGTTAACTTTTAAAAATTACAACCCGGGTTCAGTGAACTTCACAGAATTATATCTTACCATATACTTATTTAAATCTATACATATTTACACACACATGCATCTGTATATATCTACATTACAAGTATGATTGTAGCCTCTCTCATTCACCGTTGACATGCATTAGAATATATATGACAAGTGATTTGCAAAATATATTTATAATTGATGATGCTAAAGTTAGATCACCTTAGATAGTAGAAGTAGGATGAGCTGGAAGAGCATAGTGGATCACTGACTCACGAGCTTGATGACCTTGAGATACCTGCAATCACATATTACGTAAACTAAGCCGGGGGTTGATCCGGCGGAAACCCCTTCGACGCTCAAGTCAGACGTGCTGATCATAGAAAATAGTCCAAAGAATACATATTGTAGTATTGCTCAGTTAATAGGACGTACCTTATGAAATGAGTTCAAATGTGTATTTATAGCTTAGTTGAGATTGTCGGGCTCAAACCTTGCTTTAAGGTGATTGAGCATCGGTGATAGTGGTCTTCGATATTGGGCTCGTGGCCCAGTAGGTAAATAATTTGTAGGCCCATTGGGTTGGGCCAATTAGGCATATCATTAAGCCCCCCACTCTCGAGTCGATGTGGGGGCCATGTTGAAATGGGTGACATATCGTGTCGAGAGTAAAAATTGTAGTAGTCGATGGTGTGCGATGACGCGTTGGAGCATGTGTCGGAGGGGCGTGAATGCGCGTTGGCGCAAAGCGCGACCAAGTTGTCGCGATGTAAGTTAATTGAGTCGTCGGTTTTGTCCCGCGACGATGTAGTAGCGAATTATCTCCTCGTAGGAGTTGTCTCGTCGCGGGGTAATAGTGTTGATCGAGTTATCTCCTCGTGGGAGTTGTCTCGCGATAATGTAGTAGCACGGATCAAGTAATCTCCTCGTGGGAGTTGTCTCTGGGGTAATAGAGTTGATCGAGTTATCTCCTCGTGGGAGTTGTCTCGCGATAATGTAGTAGCACGGATCAAGTAATCTCCTCGTGGGAGTTGTCTCTGGGGTAATAGAGTTGATCAAGTTATGTCCTCGTGGAAGTTGTCTCACGATAATGTAGTAGCACGGAGCTAGTATTCTCCTCGTGGGAGTTGTTATTTTTCGACATTGTCAATGTTTAGACGCGTTGCTTATATGTGTTTACATATAGCCTTGTGCGTGATGTCATTCTCAAGATTTTTTTTTTATGGGGGTCGTGCCCCTTGTTAGACCTCGTGGGTCTTAAGTATGTTTGGACCGTGACCACGTTTTAATGAATGACCCATCGAAAACAAGTAGATAAATTTGAGTAATCAAGCTGGCTAGGCTATATAGATCCTCATAACATCTTTAAGTGCTTCTAGGGTTGTAATCGTGCTAACTTTAGCTTGCGATTATATAGTGAATTTCAGGGGAGTTGTCTCCTCATGGGAGTTGTCTCGCTGCGGGTTCGTAGTACCGAGCGAGTTGGTCTCAAGGGTTATCGACTCCCTGGGGGCTTACATCTGCCCCCAAAATATTTCGTTCGCCAATGGTTATCGACTCCCTAGGGGCTTACATCTGCCCCCAAAATATTTCGTTCGCCAAGGGTTATCGACTCCCTGGGGTTTATAGCGCCCCCAAAATATTTCGTTCACCAAGGGTTATCGACTCCCTAGGGGCTTACAACTGCCCCCAAAAAATTTCGTTCGCCAAGGGTTATCGACTCCCTGGGGGCTTACATCTGCCCCCAAAATATTTCGTTCGCCAAGGATTATCGACTCCCTGGGGGTTAATAGCGCCCCCAAAATATTTCGTTCGCCAAGGGTTATCGAAATAATTATTAGCAGGTAGTTTTGAAATTTATCCTACTTAATTATATAATTAATTGATGGTACTAAATAGAGAATTATATTTCTCAGTTCATTCATAATATAACTGAAATGTTAAATGTCGTTTTAATTTTACTAATATCATTTTAATTTCAAAGCCGATTTTGACATATTTCTAATCTGATTTCGGCAAAATTCAAAACACGAAAACTGTAATTCTTTGGGTTAGCTTTCTTATCAAACTTTAATCAGTTAAACTGGAATTCTCACCGTGTGGCTTTGAAAAATGGGACGTTGCCTTGTTAAACTTGCAAGTATCTTCTTTGTTGCGAACCAATTGGTAACTTGAAAGCAACATCTTTCCCGCCAATTTAAACCAAATATAATATAAGACATGGGGCATTAAAATAATTCAATTCACATTGAGAATAATTATTGCTTGTAGTTGAAGGTGAGATTGGCCTTTGATTTGAATCCAAGAATAATGCAGAAATTGGACATGGGCACTTCAACTGATTTAACAAACAAATTGCCAAATTCTACACACATCTTTTCTTTTTTTCTCTTTTCATATGATGTAATAAAAATATACCATATACAGCAGAAACCTAACCCCCCATACTTATTTAATTTGTCTCTATAAAAACCAACCAACAAAACTCAACTGTTTTCATTTTTATAAGGTAAAATGAGAATTATGAAATGCATGGGGAGAAAGCGGAGAAAAACCGCGGGAAGCGCAGACAAGAAAGCTGCCGGCAACATCATTCGAGGAGACAGCATTGCGAGAAAATGGAAGCTTCTAAGCGGCGCAAACAACTGGCAAGGCCTGTTAGACCCGTTAGACCTCGATCTCCGCAAATACATTATCCACTACGGACAAATGTCGCAAGCAACCTACGACACTTTCAACTCCGAGAAGGCGTCAAAGTACGCCGGAAGCAGCAGATACTCAAAGGACAACCTCTTATCCAAAGTTGGCGTCGACAAGGCGAATCCGTTCAAGTACCGTGTCACTAAGTACGTCTACGCCACGTCATCGTTGACAGAAGTCCCGGATGCCTTCATCTTGAGGTCATGGTCCAGGGAAGCCTGGACCAAGGAATCGAACTGGATTGGCTACGTGGCAGTTGCTACAGATGAAGGGAAACTGGCTCTCGGTCGGAGGGATATTTTGATCGCGTGGAGAGGCACTGTTAGAACTCTTGAATGGATCAACGATTTCGAATTCTCGTTAGTCGATGCACCGCTGATCTTCGGAGCTGCAAACGATGGTGATGATCAGCCTAGGGTTCATCTTGGCTGGTACTCCATCTACACTTCTGATGATCCAAGATCACCTTTTAATAAAACCAGTGCTAGAAACCAGGTACATTATATATTCAAATCTTACATTTAGGAATATTTTATTTATTTAATATCTTTTTACTGAAAATTCGGAGAAGTGGGGTTTTTCCGGGATTAAGAATTCGAATAGGTTTATGAGTTATTTCGTTTTATTTTTTTACTTTTTTTTTTTGGGTAAAATTTCATGTTTTCTTATTTTAATTAGGGTGTTCATTGTTAGTATATAAATACGGTTGCATGCATGCATTTCTTGAATTAGGTTCTTGAAGAGGTGAAGAGATTGGTAGAAGAGTACAAGAACGAGGAGACGAGCATAACCGTAACCGGACACAGCTTAGGTGCAGCAGTTTGTACCTTAAACGCATCCGACATTGTAGTCAACAAATACAACAAGCCAAATGACATGCCGGACAAGTCATGTCCGGTGACAGTTTTCGCCTTCGCCAGCCCACGTGTGGGCGACGACAAATTCCGGAAAATCTTATCGTCACTAAAAACAAATAATAATCTAAACATTCTCCGTGTCAGAAATGCAAAAGACATAGTCCCGAAATACCCCTTCATAGACTACTCGGAAGTAGGGGTGGAGCTAGTTATAGACACGGATAAATCGAGCTATTTGAAAAGCCCCGGGAATTTGAGCAGCTGGCATAGCTTGGAGGGGTACTTGCACGGAGTTGCGGGTACGCAAGGGAGCAGGGGAGGGTTTAAGCTCGAAGTTAACCGTAGTTTAGCTCTCGTTAACAAACACATGGACGGGTTAAAAGACGAGTATTGCGTTCCGGTTTCGTGGTGGTGTGAGAGGAATAAGAGTATGGTGCAGAGTGATGATGGTTCTTGGGAATTGATTGATCATGAAGATGATGATTTTTTTTGATTTATCCTAGAATTTAATCACAATTGTTGTATGGATGAATTATTTATTTGTTTCATATTTAATTTCTTATTAATTCCATAAATTATGTGTTTATTTTTATTTTTCATAAATCAAAGCTAAGTGTGAAATGTGTGTTGGTAAAATGAGAAGGCTGAACAGTAAACAGTAAACATGGAGATGAGAGCGGTGGAAGACATAGCCATAGGCGAAGACCTAACCCCAGCCCTTCCACCTCTGGCCTTCGTCCTCCTTGAAACCGCCGTTAGCTCCTATTGCTCCGCCTGTTTTTCTATTCTTCCGCCGCAGCCATTTCCCCCACTTAACCCTAACTCTCGCCCTAATTGTTCCCATTTCCCTTCTCCTACTCCGCTTTACTGTTCCGTTAACTGCTCTTCCATCGATTCCCCACTCCATTTCTCCTCCGGCGAGCTCCGACTCCTCTCTCTCTTCCGGCAATCGCCTCCCTTCGCGTGGGAGGACTCCTCCGACCTCCGCCTCTCACTCCGCCTGATTCACTTATTCCAAAAAATTGAGAAAATTGAATGCCCAGAGGCAAGCGAAATTATTGAGCGAATTGGGGGTTTGATGACTAATCGTGAGAAATTGATATTTGAAGAGAGTAGGAACAGCAAATCTAAATTTAGCGATGAAAATCTTCGTGATTGCGGCGATTCAGGTGAAAATTCTGAGAATGTTTACCAGAAGATAAGATCGGGGGCAAAAATGATGGCGGAGGCAAGGAGGGCAAGTACGGATCACTATGTAAATGCAGAGAAGAAGAGGGATGATTTTGTATTGGAGGAGATGGTATTGTGTTTGGTGCTGACGAATGCTGTCGAAGTTCAGGATAAAAATGGCTGCACCATAGGTATTGCTGTTTACGATACTGCGTTTTCTTGGATCAATCATAGTTGTTCTCCGAATAGTTGTTACCGGTTCGTATCGAGGCTGGAAAATCACCAACAGTCATCTTTAAGAATTGCTTCATATGCAACAAGTGGCTGTCGCCATGGATATGGTAAATATACTTTGATAATCGACACAAAAAAAATCGCAATGTGGATTTCGATCGGGGTATATGAATAATCCGTTGATGTGAATTTGTTTACAGGTGATATAGAAAGAAATGGTTATGGTCCAAGAGTTATAGTTCGAAGTATAAAAGCTGTTCAAAAGGGTGAAGAGGTGACAATTGCGTACACGGATTTGTTGCAACCTAAGGTTTTTTGTTTTCCGAAATTTATCAGCACTGTAATTCAAATTTTTTTTATGTTCTTTGATTTCGATACGCACGTTGCTTTTCGTTTCTTTAGCTTTTTAAAAATGGAATTAAAACTGTTTGCACCGATACTATTGTTTGGTCCCATAATGGAAACAATTAAGTTACTACAATGACAAATAAATTGATTCAGTATAGCTACTGAGTTTAAGATGGCTTTTAGAAGTCCGACATCTTTCGTTATCCTTAGGTTTCTTGCAAATTTCATTCTCTTGTGTTGTGCTTTATTTATTTTTTGGAACATCGTATTCTCCTGCAGTCCAATCGTTCATTACCGTTACTTGGCATTGGTACCTGCAGGAGATGAGACGAGCACAACTATGGTTCAAGTACAGATTTAGTTGTAGCTGTCCGCGCTGTGTTGTGGTCCCTACAACTTACGTTGATTATGCTTTGCAAGTAAGATTTTTTGTTTCGTTTGAAAATAATCGATCGAAAATGCAAAATGTGTTTATGGGGTATTCTATATGTATTTTTATTTTATTTTTTGTGTGTGTAGGCACTCTCTGTTGGCTGTACAGATAATCAAGATTCTTCAGACAGTGAAATAGAGAAACTAATGCAAAGTTTTGATGATGCAACAAATGATTATCTATCACTAGGTGATGCAGAATCATGTTGTAAGAAGCTCGAACACTTAATAGACGAGTCCATAAAACCAAAGGAAACAAAATCACCACAGCTGCACCTTTTTCATTATCTTTCCCTAAATGCTTACACCACCTTAGCTTCTTCTTACAAAGTTCGAGCAAGTGATCTCTCAGCTCTTAATTACGAGGTCGAAAAACACAAACTGGAAGCCTTTGATTTGTACAAGACAAGTGCTGCATATTCCTTATTGCTTGCTGGGGTGACACATCATCTTTTCATGTCTGAATCTGCTCTTGTGGCGAGTGGATCAAATTTCTGGATAAATGCAGGGGAATCATTGTTGAATCTTGCTAAAAACTCCATGCGGAATTCAAATTCAACACTGAAACCTGGGAAATGCAGTGATTATTGTCTCGTGGATACTCTGGAACCGAATTCTACTATGCAGTTGGAGGAAATAAAGAGTCGGTTTTTTAATTGCATTGCGAATATGACACTAAAAGTATGGAGCGTACTTGCTTCTGAGAGTAGTTTCTTGAGATCAATTCAAAACCCGATCGACTTCACTTGGCTCGCGTCTTCGGAAACTTCCATGATTCTGTCGGCTGAAGAAGAGTCTCGCCTTGCAGGGTTCGTTCTGAAGAAGGGATCTCCTTCATTGGAAGCTTCCGAATGCGACGATCAAGTAAGGATGAATCTTGTTATGCTTAGTGGCCATTGTTTAAGGTATGGTGCGATCTTATCAAGCATCTGTTATGGCTTGTCAGATGAAATGTATTATAACAGAACTCTAGAAGTTTTAAAGGAACTTTATGGAAATAAATGAGATTTTATTTTGTTTAGAAGAAAATATTACCCATTTTAATTTAATGAACTCTATTGCAAGATCTTTTGCTGGACGACCTAATGACATGGAATATGGCACAATTGTTAATTCATATTTATTATCCCATGTTCTGCTGTTTAATTATATTAAAGAAATTAAACAAGTTATTTAATACTTCATCAGGTGCGTCAGGAATTTCTTATCAAAAAAAAAAAAAAAGGTGCGTCAGGAACAATTATAAAGGGCTCACAAAAAGTCTAATATAATATTAGCAGTCAAATACTGAAACTCGTGATAGATTGACATCAAAGTGGCTGTAGTTTAGTGGTAAGAATTCCACGTTGTGGCCGTGGAGACCTGGGCTCGAATCCCAGCAGCCACACTACTATTTTTTTTTTGTTATTTTTGGATTTTCACCCTGGAGGGCTAAAAAGGTCAATTCCGATGAAGGATGTGCTTCGGAGCCAACCCTAGAACCACTCCAGTTGGATGAATTCAAAAATAATATCAAATTTTTATACATTTATTTTTTATTACTATGTTATTTATATATTGATAATATCATTTATACATTTAAAAAAATGTTATTTTATGACAGATAATTAATATAGTTTTCCCACTTATTCTTTTCCATGTCCGACCGACAGTAAAGCCAACTACTCCTAAATAAAAACATTAGAAGAAGTAATTTTATTTTTATTAGTAAAAAAAAATTAAAATAAATTATATCAAACAACATAACATTTCCCTGGTAAATAAAAAAAAAAAAAAAAAAACAATTTTGCGTTTTCAGCAATTTGGGTGACAGCTAATGAAAGCGGCGGCGGACCAACTTCAGTTGCACTAGAGTGTTCTCTTAGCTGTAATCCAGGCATACACACGTGGCCCATTTTCCGCCGTGGATCTGGTCGATTGTTTCCTGTCGGTGCTAATCCAATACCGCACTGTAGGTAGGTTAATCACTTATTAATTGAATAAGTATTACATTTTTTGGGTTAATGTAACCTTGTGACTTTCCACCGACGAAAATAGTCTAGTAAATACTAGAGCGCGTGAGTACAACTTCCACCTCGCACGTGGTTAAACATTCATGGGGTTTTGTGTACGTGGATTTGTTTTTCTTCTTAATTAATCATGGTCTTTATAGTCAATTGTTTTTTTTATTTTAATTTACTTTAATTTGTTGAATCAAGAATCATGATTTCAGTGATGACTGATCACTAGGCTTTTTGAAGGAATGAGCTGTATTTATTTTCAATTCCTTCCATCTTATTCCATGTTAAGATTTGTCATTCTCTTTATTTATTTATTTGTTTAATACTATTATTATTATTATAGTTATCATCTTTACATGTAAATATAGTGTTGTGGCAGAAAAACACACACACACACACAATTAAGTCAGGTTGTGGCAGAAAAACACACACACACACACACACACATTTAAGTCAGTTTTTACTCGTAATATTACATGACAAATTACATAAAATTTAAAAAAGGCGTACACTGTTTTTTTTTTATAAGGCAAGAAGCTAAATACATGAATGATTACAAACTCATCATAAAGTTAATGATGTCTCCACGTGTCACATTAGGGCTTAAGTGGGGGTTATGGATGTTTGACATGTGTTAGTAATTATAAATGCTGGTAATTACGTGATGATTAGGAGCAGCTAATCTGAGAATGGAAGCATCCGATGATTCATCCTTCTACTTTATCATACTTTATCACACTTTGTATTTTATTCATCATAAATAAGTGACGAGACGATCGACGACGAACATAGAGAAATTGATGACTTAGCCACGAAGGCTTGAAAAAATATCACGCACTTGAATTAACCTTATTAATTGAATTGAATAAACAATTAAATCCATAAGTATCATGCACTTGGACGTTGGAGCAATAACGCTCGAATTTCATGAAGCGATCGGAGCTGCCCTATCACATAGGTCTACACAAAAAAATAATGCAATTACTTAAAGTGGACGAGTAGACGAAGTAATACAAATTAAAATTAAAATAATTTAATTTGTGCCAATCTTGTCGTAATTATATAACAAAAGAAGCCCTAAGTTTCGATTTTTTACAATTAGTCAATTGGCACCAACATATATCAATAAATCGTAGATCAAGATCCACAAAGTATGATAAAAATACCAAAAAATTGAAATAATTGGATGGAAATTCAATAATTAAACATGGGACATGTGGATGCACTCCTGTGCACATGCTCGGTCTTCGAATATCTTTTTCTATACATTTATTTTCACCAAATTAATTGTTTATATTGATTAAAAAAATGTTTTTTTTTAATTAACCAAGAAAAAGATACTTGTGGATAATTATTTTCACCAGAAATGAGTTAACTTCGTCCAAGAACTACTAATTGGGGTGTGAAGAATATATATAATTAAAACATAAATTAATATTAGTTTTTTTAAAAAGATTGTGAGTATATCTAACTCTTCATTCACATGGCATGTGCAGCTTGTGATGGTGAACCCATTTTGTGAAGAAGAAAAAAGGCAAAGTAGAAATATATAATGTATTAATTAATAATTAGATTAGAGGTTAAATACAAGCAAACAGGTGCACGTTTGTGGGCCTAAGTTTGCCTTTACATTATGCCCCCTGCCATTTTTTCATCACCAAAAATAGATTTTCAATAAAATTATTCATTATTTCGTCAAAATTCCCCTTTTTTCCAAATTTTAGTTTTGTAGAAAAAAAAAAGAAAGAAAGAAATTCTAGGGCCGTATTTCACTTTCATTTGTAATGTCATTGAAAATGAAATTCCAAATTACCACGGTATCTTTAATAATCAAGATTTGTGCTAGATTTACCAGAATTGTGATTTATTGAAGAATTATTAAATGCTGTATATATATATATATATATGTATATGTATTTATTTGTTAGGTGTAGGTTGTTTATCACATTCAAAGCTAAATTGGTGAACCACAATCTAAACCAAACTACTCTAACAAACATCCTCATCATCGAACCACCACCATGTTCTTATTATTTAACGCGTGAACCTAAGAAAAAATAAAAACAAATTCACTTAAATAAAAAAATAATAAATAATAAAGAAACACATAAAATTACGGATATACCCTTTATAACGACTCCAAACGCCACCGTTAGGAGTGGCGGGACCCGCACCCACCACCATCATGTGGGGCCCACTAAGAAATATATTTTCTTACATTAGCAACTTTGTACATCTTTCGATCCAAACAGCAGTAATCCTTGTCCCTTGTGCATTACGCGCTGAATCTTCCACTCTCCTCTCTCTCTCTCTCTCTCTCTCTTATTTTCTGTTTCTCTCTCTATCCTTAAATTAAAATTTGGTAGATGAAAGCATAAAAAAAACTCTACTCGCACATTATTGTGTGTGTCTTTACCAATCAATAATCCCTTGTTCAACCCAGTGGCAATAATTTTATGATTCTCTGATCTACAACAACACATCACAGTAATTTCCATAGCTCACACCAACTACAAAGAAAAGAGTGTGTGTGTGTGTGTGTGTGTGTGTGTGAGAGAGAGAGAGAGAGACCCTTTATCACAAACAGAGGGGTTCTGTTCTCTCAAGAAAAGAATCCATCTTTAGAGAGAGAGAGAGAGAGAAAAGAGAACGAACACGCAAGCCAGTGTAATTACTAATTACTCTCTCTCTTTCTATCTCTAGCTGAACCCGCATTTGCGTAGGTTGTGTGTAATGCGAAAGGTTTTGTGTTCAAGAACAGAGCAAAATATTTCAAGAGGCTCTTTCCTTTGAGTTCACGTGTGCAGTGGGCGTTATGTATTGATTGTGTGTGTGTGTGTGTGTGTGAGAGAGAGAGAGAGAGAGAGGATATTATTTTGTTAGGGTTTCTTGATGGATACTAATGGAAGGCTTGTAGCTGGTTCACACAACCGGAATGAATTCGTACTCATCAATGCTGATGAGATTGGAAGAGTGAGTATTCTCTACATATATTTTAATTTCTTTTTTTTTTTTACTGTTTATTTCACAGATCTCTCAGCTGATTTTGTGTTTTATAATGTCGCATTAATTATTATTTATTTAGTTGTGTTTTTGCCAATTTCATTTTTGAGTAATCTTTAGTTGGATTTCTTCATCGATTTCTGGGTTCAAGGTTTTAGGGTTTTTTTTCCCCAAATCTTTGACATTGTTAACTTTACTTTTAGCTGACTTTCTAGCTTTCTAGATTTGAGGGCCTGTCTAATTCATATTCGCATTTACGAGGATTGATTCGATTTTAGTTTCAATTGACTTATAGATCTTACGATTTCTTGATCTGATTTCGGCAGGTGACTTCTGTGAAAGAATTGAGTGGGCAGATCTGTCAGATTTGTGGAGACGAGATTGAATTTAGTGCGGATGGGGAGCCTTTCGTTGCCTGCAATGAATGCGCATTCCCAATCTGTAGGCCTTGCTACGAATACGAAAGGAGAGAGGGTAATCAATCTTGCCCTCAGTGCAAAACCAGATTCAAGCGCATTAAAGGTAATTTACGGCTGCTTTTTACTTTAAAGACTGCCCCTTTTTGGTAATCGTTTAAATTCATCACTAAGCCCACTTAATTTTTCAGGGAGTCCTAGAGTTGACGGAGACGAAGATGAAGATGAATTCGATGATTTGGATAATGAGTTCGATTATAATAATGGCAATGAAAGAAGAGATCCTCATCAAATTGCTGAGTCAACTCACTCTACCAGGGGTAATATCGGACGCACTTCTTCCGGTATCACTAATTCTTCGGATTTGGATGCCGCAGCTGTTAACTCGGAAATTCCTCTACTTACTTACGGTCAAGAGGTAGTTTGCCATCTCAATTTATTAATTATTTCTAAATCCTATTTTATTACTAATTTGTGATTCAAAATTATTTAAGGATGACACGATTTCGGCGGACAAGCATGCACTCATTATCCCTCCTTTTATGAGTCGTGGAAAACGAGTCCATCCTATGCCATTCAACGATTCTTCTATGACTTGTAAGTTTTCATTCTTCGATTTTGTTATTATTCTTTTCTTTTGTTTTTCTTTTCTGAATCGGATGTTTAATATACTACCTACATACATTGTATTGCAGTGCCACCAAGACCGATGGATCCTAAAAAGGACTTGGCAGTTTACGGTTACGGTACAGTTGCATGGAAGGAAAGAATGGAGGAATGGAAGAAAAAGCAGAACAATAAACTTCAAGTTGTTAAGCATCAAGGAGAAGAATTGGACGATCCCGATTTACCCAAGTAGGTGGTCTACTTTTGGATGATTTTTATTTTTTCGATTTCTTCTTATTATATTAAATTATCGCTTTAGCTGACTTGTAATTTTTATTACAGGATGGATGAAGGCAGACAACCCCTTTCCAGGAAGCTACCGATTTCTTCGAGCAAGATAAATCCTTACAGAATGGTGATCATACTTCGAATGGTGATTCTTGGATTGTTCTTTCACTATAGAATTCTTCACCCTGTTAAGGATGCATACGGGTTGTGGCTAACATCGATTATATGCGAGATATGGTTTGCTGTATCGTGGATATTTGATCAGTTTCCGAAATGGTCCCCTATCGAACGAGAAACATACCTTGACAGACTCTCACTTAGGTATACAGTGTTCTCCGTGTGTGTGTGCGTGTGTGTGTCTATTTTTATATCTGCATTTCTGAGTTTGAACTTACTGAAAGGTACGAGAAAGAAGGAAAGCCATCTGAGCTAGCTTCAGTGGACGTATTTGTGAGTACGGTGGATCCGTTAAAGGAGCCTCCATTGATTACTGCAAACACGGTGCTTTCTATACTCGCAGCCGATTATCCAATCGACAAAGTTGCTTGCTATGTATCTGATGATGGTGCTGCAATGTTGACTTTCGAAGCTCTTTCGGAAACTTCCGAATTCGCCAGAAAGTGGGTCCCGTTCTGCAAGAAGTTTAGCATCGAGCCTCGTGCTCCTGAATGGTACTTTGCCGAAAAGGTTGACTATTTGAAAGACAAAGTAGAGCCAACATTTGTGAGGGAACGTCGTGCAATGAAGGTGCTACATTTTTTCTCCTTCATCGATTGTAATTTTTTTTTTTAAATTGCTATTGACTGATTTGTGTATGCAGAGAGAATACGAAGAATTCAAAGTTCGAATAAACGGATTGGTTGCTATGGCACAGAAAGTTCCGGAAGAGGGATGGACCATGCAAGATGGAACTCCTTGGCCTGGAAATAATGTCCGAGATCATCCTGGAATGATCCAGGTTAGTGGGCCCCCCCATCACTTTTGATTATATATTGTGACAGCAAAACATTGTGTAATAACTCAACTTGTCGTCTGGTCAACAGGTCTTCCTTGGTCAAAACGGTGTTAAGGACATTGAAGGTAATGAGTTGCCTCATCTTATATACGTTTCTCGTGAGAAGCGGCCTGGATTTGATCATCACAAAAAGGCCGGTGCTATGAATTCTTTGGTAATAATAACTCTTTTTTTTTCTATCTTATTAGCTTTCTTGATATTTTCTATCTTGATACAGTTATTTGATCAACGTTTTTTTCTTTTTTTCTTTTCTGCAAGATTCGGGTGTCGGCTGTAATTTCGAATGCTCCTTACATACTGAACGTGGATTGTGATCACTATATAAACAACAGCAAGGCGCTTAGGGAAGCCATGTGTTTCTTGATGGACCCACAAGCCGGGAAGAAGATATGCTACGTGCAGTTTCCTCAAAGATTCGATGGAATTGATAGGCACGATCGATATTCAAATCGCAATGTCGTCTTTTTTGATGTATGTAGAAAAAAATTTACAAGTTGTGGGCTTTATTTTATTGATGATCTTGTTAAAAAAAATTAATAATAATATTTTATTTGTTAACAGATAAATATGAAAGGGCTTGATGGAATCCAAGGTCCGATTTACGTGGGAACTGGATGTGTATTCAGAAGGCAAGCACTGTATGGATATGATGCTCCTAAGAAAACAAAACCACCCGGAAAAACATGCAATTGTTGGCCCAATTGGTGTTGCTGTTTTGGATCAAGAAAGAAGACCAAGAGTAAGAAATCGAAGGATGCTAATAACAAGAAAAAGATTAAAAGCAGGGAAGCTTCTACTCAGATTCATGCTCTTGAAAATATCGAGGAAGGAATCGAAGGTCAGTTACATTCACATACATATTATATATACCCAATTTCGGATCATTTTTTTACTTACTCTACTGTTTTACGTTCAAACAGGAATCGACAGTGAAAAATCGACTCTCATGCCACAGATAAAATTCGAGAAAAAATTTGGGCAATCACCGGTTTTCATTGCTTCAGCCCTTCTAGAAGAAGGGGGTGTTCCGAGAGGAGCATCTTCCGCATCGCTCTTGAAAGAAGCTATTCATGTCATTAGCTGCGGTTACGAAGATAAAACCGAATGGGGAAAAGAGGTAATGCAATGCACTCCATAATTAAAAAAAAGAAAAAAAATTAGTTAGTCCTTCACAATTTTTTCTTTAACACAATTTTATTACAACACCGCCAGGTTGGATGGATTTACGGCTCTGTAACGGAAGATATCTTAACGGGTTTCAAGATGCACTGCCATGGATGGAGATCGGTTTATTGCATACCCAAAAGACCCGCATTCAAAGGATCGGCTCCAATCAATCTTTCCGATCGTTTGCATCAAGTTCTGCGATGGGCTTTGGGGTCCGTTGAAATTTTACTGAGTAGGCACTGTCCTATCTGGTATGGCTACGGTTGCGGTCTTAAACCGCTCGAGAGATTCTCTTACATAAACTCGGTTGTCTATCCGCTGACATCACTTCCTTTGCTCGCTTACTGCACTTTGCCCGCTGTTTGTCTACTTACCGGGAAATTCATTGTCCCCGAGGTAATAGTTACTACATTGTTTTTAATTGTTTGATTACTTTGTTTGTCGGTTTTTTAGCTGACAAGGTGTTTCTTGTTTTTGTGTACAACAACAACAGATCAGCAACTATGCGAGTTTACTTTTTATGGGCCTCTTCATATCAATTGCTGCGACGAGTATATTAGAGATGCAATGGGGCAAAGTCGGAATAGACGATTTGTGGAGAAACGAGCAGTTTTGGGTAATCGGTGGTGTCTCCTCGCACTTCTTTGCACTAGTACAAGGTCTTCTAAAAGTGTTGGCCGGAGTGAGCACGAATTTCACCGTCACTTCAAAAGCTGCGGACGACGGAGAATTTTCGGAGCTTTATCTATTTAAGTGGACTTCCCTTTTGATCCCTCCAATGACTTTGATGATCATTAATATTATCGGGGTCGTTGTCGGTATTTCAGATGCTATTAGCAATGGGTACGAAACTTGGGGGCCTTTGTTTGGGAGGCTTTTCTTTGCGATTTGGGTGATTGTCCATTTATACCCTTTCTTGAAAGGTTTTATGGGGAAACAGAATCGACTCCCGACTATTATTATTGTGTGGTCGATTCTTCTGGCTTCGATATTCTCGTTGTTGTGGGTCCGGATCAACCCGTTTTTGGCGAGAGGAGGAATCGTGTTGGAGGTTTGTGGGTTGGATTGTAACTAGAAGGAACCAGGTGATTAGTTTGTGTAGATAAAATGATGCTTTGGGAAAGTTTTCATTTATTCTTTTGGTATAATTTTGTGCTCTGTTTTATTTTATTTTATTTATTTTATTTAAAAAAGAACAGTAAATAGATTATTACTATTATTAATATTTATATTTCCTTTCTCAATAAGGACCTCCATAAGTATTTTTCTTAACCTTGCGAAGGCGACAAGGTTCACTGTTGTAGTTTTGTAATAGACTTGATTTCTGGTAGTGGCCTTTTGTTGTAATACAAGTTTAGATTTCTTTTTATTTGGTTATATAAATTACTTTATTAAAATAGAGCTAAATAAACATTTCTCATACAGTAAAAAAATCCCTCACACTGAGTTTCTGAACTAATTTGATAACAATAATAATGTCCTTCAATAATATTGGATGTATTGGAACAGAATTTTAGTTTTGGATCCTAACCCTATATAAACGAGTCGAGCTTAATAATTGTTTTGGTCAGCTCAAGCTCACATCCATTTCGAGAGTTCAAGCTCTTCAACTACTTTTCTGGGCTCGGGATCAAGCCCATTTTCTGATTTTTTTTCTAATTTTCTTATTATTAGCAAAATTTTATTATCACATATTATAATAATAAAAAAATGACTTAATTTATTCATTTTTTAGTATTTATATGAATTTATTATTTAATTTTATATTCATTAAACTTAAAATTAAAAAAATGCAGTTAATTAGAAATCCAAAAAGTTACAATTTCAAATTTGAAATACTTTACACAAAATCCTCTTCTGAAATTCAAACACTTGGATCCAAAACAAAATGCAATGGATTATTTTGACTTGAAATTATTAATTATCATTTAAAGGGAGTTCTTTTTACTTGTTTTCGTTAATTACAGAATCACCCATTTGAAGTAATATTTGGAATATTAATCCACACTTCTGAAACTCATAATGCACCATAGTAGCATTGCTGTATTCAAAACCAAATCTGTGAATTAAAATTGCAAAAATGAAAAATAAAATAAAAAATTGATTAGTTTATTTGCCAAAACTGAAAGCATAATTTAGAGTTCCAAGTTTAATTTTCAAACAGCACCTATTGGTCTAGGTGCAGGGACAAAAAATCCAAGCTAAAAAAACAATTCAAGGTAAAATTAACTATTTTTTAATGTCTTCGAAAATCCGTAATTGATTGAAAAATATTTGGAAAATAAAAAGAAGAAAAAAGGAGGATCAGAAATCTCGTGTGGAAATAGCCGCTCATCGCACCACCAGAATTGGTAGATGCTGCGTCTGCATAAGTGAGAATTTCATCATTCAGTCATTCCTTTCTTCCATTAACGAAATCCATATTTTGAATTGAACAAAAACAAACAAAAAAAATGAATTTTCAATAACTGAAATGTTGGAGAAAACACAATTGAAATCGCAAAATTAACTCATACGGAAGGGTTTTGCTCTGCAATTGCTTGACGGCTGGAATTCGGAGTGACGGGGGTTCCCTTTATAGAGAGATGTTGCCCTAATTCCGAAACTTAAGGCTCTGTTTGGATGTAACTTGAAACGTATACAATTTTTAGGTTTTCGGCTCTTGAAAAAGAGTGGTAGTTTAACACGTGTATAATAATAATAATATTAATACAGCAGGCCAGGCCAAACCCAGCCCAGCCCGGTGGCAGGTGTATTCGATAATCATGGACCCAATGGGCCCACCATCTGAAACTAAAGAAGGTCAAAGAATAACAATCAAGCTATCCTGCCTCGTATCTTAGTGTGGGTGGAAGTCGGGTGCAACCAATCAAAATATCTAATTTTTTCCAAAGTACAAAACTAATTCTAGTTCAATTCCAAATATTTCGTAATCTAGAAATTCATTCTAAATTTAGAAGTTATGGAAATTTAATTTATTTTAAGAAAAATAATTAGAAATTTTTATTAAATTGGATTGGAATCGAAAATTCCAAATATTTTTTATATAATTCAAGTTTCAATCCAAAAAATTAAAAAATATCAAAAATTGAAATTTCAAAAGAATAAAAAATTAAAATTGTTCCAAAATTGATTTTTTTTATTGAAATAAAACGAAATTAGAAATTATATTTCAACTTTCACCCATATCTCTTCCATTAAAGATTAGAAAGAACTCAATTCTAATATGATTTCTCCCATTTTTGGTATGTGTCAAATAAAAAATAAAGATGTTGAAATTAACAATGATTTTTTATTCTTTTTTGTCTGGGAAACAAGAATGCAAAAGTAGATAACCGACGTTATTCAATTGTGATCAAGGTGTAAAAGCCAAGTTGGCACTTTTTTTAGCCATAAAAGAGTCAAACCGTGTGAACACACATATTATATTACAATTCAAGCACATTTTTTTTCAGAAAAAAAATACTGTTCCATTGACGTATTTTATATATTATATATACTTGAGTTGTCTCAATTTGGTTTATTATTTGCTTGTTATATACAGCCGCTCTTTCTCTCTCTAGATTTTCAAACATAATAAATAAAGTATACGTGCTTATTAATTAAAGGTGGCGAACAGACGAGACGACAACGGTGAGTATGCTAGGTTTCCGGCGACATGGAACATAGAAACCGCCGCCGCCGCCGCTTCCAATAATACTAATCCCGTTATTCCATACTTGGACGACATGCAAGAACAACCAGATTACCTGCTATCGGCTGTGGTGGCGGGAAACACGCTGTCAGGTTATTATGCCGAGTCGCCGGAGATGTCAGCAATGGTGGCGGCGCTGACCCACGTAGTTTCTGGTCAGCCGATCAACGGCGACCAAATAAGCCACACCTATTCTCCTCCCTCTGCTTATTCATCCTCCTCTGTTATATCAGGTTAATTATTTATATTAATTTTATAAAATATATCTCTGCTAGGTTTTAATTATTGTAGAATAATAGGAGTCTGATTTTGTTTATTATTCTCTTTATCCAGAGCTGGAGACAGCCACAACCGACATCGCCGCCGTTGAACAACGAGAAGTGGCCGCCGCCGCCGCCACCTCAGAAGAAGAAATAACCGGAGAAAGAAGAAGAAGGAAATACAGAGGAGTTAGACAAAGGCCATGGGGCAAATGGGCAGCTGAGATCAGAGACCCACACAAAGCCGCCAGAGTTTGGCTTGGCACCTTCAGTACGGCGGAGGCCGCCGCCAGAGCATACGACGAGGCCGCTCTACGCTTCAGAGGCAGCCGCGCCAAACTCAATTTCCCTGAAAACGTCAGAATCTCGCCGCCGCCACCCCCCGCCCCATCTCCGCCGTCATTTTACCAACCCACGTTCTACGATTCATCAATATTAGCTGCTGGTGGTGGTGGTTTATATTCACACCAATTAAACAACAATTTCTCTTCTGAATATTCTCCCGCCATTAATTTTTCTTCTGGCCAGCACCAACCACCATTTAATATTTCTTCATCATCCTTTTCTTATCCGTTGCTCTTCTCTAGTGGACAAACAATAGATTTCCGGCCACGAGAAAACGACGATCAACTAGCTCAAGGCAGCGGCGCCGCCTTAGATTTCCCGACACCGCCGTGGTACTCAGGCCACTTTCCTCCCTCGTCCTCCTAATATATACATATAACATATGTATGTATATTAATGCTTCTTGTTCATGCATGCTATTCCATTAATGTAATTCAAATTTTATGTTTTGACTTTTATTTGTTGCACTAACGTTTTAATATTAATGAGATGTAAAATTGTTTCATTCACATTGCATTTGTAATCTTGTCCTAAAATAGAAGACTGGTTTGACTTGTGAATTGTGATTATATAATTTTTTTTTTAATTTAATTTTGTTGGTCCACATTTGTCATTTCTATTGATCATATATGTAGGGGGTCGAAAATAAATCATGGACGTTTATCAGATTATTAATTGAAATATATATATATATATATATTAACAACCCTTTCCTTAGTCTAGAATTTGGTGCTAAAAATAAAATAAAAATTAGTGATGAACAAGTGTTGTCGGTACCAAAAACGTGTTAAGCTCTACCGTACCAACTATTGTTGTTTATCCCCACACCGCTTCATACGTCCCTTTCTATCTATCCAAACTCCAAACATATGCAAATTTTAGAACCATGATTATCTCTTATTCAATTTTAGGATAATGTCATCATTATTTTATATCATACAAAATTCGATGTTTATATAAAAAATGAATACTAGATTCAGATCTTATCAAAAAAAAAAAAACAGAATACTAGATTCAGAGCACATGTGTCACATGTATTTATATATAGAGCAATTCGATTTAATTTAGATAAATGTGAAAATGCCTCGTTCGTGGCATCCAATTTGGGATAAATAGTTAAATACATTTAAATATTTTCATATGGGCCTTTTGGTTGGGCTTTTAAGTTAGATTTCTAAATGGGTCTAGAGACTAGATACAATAATTGTGTCTCTTGACCCCAAATCCTCTACTGAAACTGAAACAAATGGCATAATAAACATTAAAAAATTAATTTAATAAAATTAAAGTTTGATCTCTTTTAAGTTTCATAACGTCACTATTAATGCCTAATAAAACATAAGTCACGAATTTAATTCAGTCCCACACAGTAAACATATATATAATTAAGTCTCAGCCTCAAGAATAAATGAAAAACAAAATAATTAAAAAGTATTGTTAAGCAAATTCAAGATGAACACTTGTCCAAGATTTGTTTTGATGTTAACTAATTTGAGTTTCTTCTTCCTTCTCATTACCGCAACAAATGCCCAAGATAAAAACCAACCCGATGACTTAATCACAAAACCACTATTAATCACAATTAACCCGGCAGCATTAGTACCACAATTAAATTCAACATCATCGCCACACCCAAAGCCAGCACCAAACCCGAAACCCGAAGGACCCGAATCAAACTCTACATCGCCGCACCTTAAACCCGCACCCAAATCAAACTCAACACCTTCGCCAAGCCCGATACCAGCACCAAAGCCCGACCCAACTTCGCCACATTCAAAACCAGAAACAAAACCCGACCCAACTTCACCACACCCCAAACCAGCACCAACTCCAAAACCAGCACCAAAACCCGACCCAACTTCGCCACATTCGAAACCAGAAACAAAACCCGACCCAACTTCACCACACCCAAAGCCAGCACCAACTCCAAAACCAGCACCAAAACCCGACCCAACTTCGCCACATTCGAAACCAGAAACAAAACCCGACCCAACTTCACCACAACCAAAACCAGCACCAAATCCCAAACCAGCACCAAAACCCGACCCAACTTCACCACACCCAAAACCAACACCAAAACCCGACCCAACTTCGCCAAACCCGAAACCAGCACCAAAACCCGATCCAACTTCACCACATCCGAAACCAGCACCAAAACCCGACCCGAAAAAAACAGTACCACCAAAACCAGACACAACAACAAAATCGACTGCTTCTTCTTCTTCCCCGTACCATTTCGCAAATCACTTTTGCCTGTCAAGGAGACTGGATGTCAAAAGCACGTTTTGCCTACAGGTACTCCGATCGAGTCCGGCCAGCACGAAGGCGAACGACAACCAGGCACTCCTCAACATCGCCGCCGAAATGTCCATTAAATACGGCGAGAAAACCCTAACTTTCCTGAAAAAAATGTCGGCGGACAAGACGACGAAGCCGGATCTGAAGCCAGCGATCGAGGATTGCGTGTCGGCGTACGAAGGATACCTGACACAGTACAAGATGCTCATGGAGGAAGTCGGAAGTGATGGCCAGGTGGCGAGCTACGATTCGGAGTTGGCGAAGATTGAGATCAACAGCTGTGTGAGAGCTTTGAGTAAGAACAAAAATGCTGATATTGTAGCGCGTAACAAGGTTGCTCTGGATTACGCTAGGCTTACTCAGAATATTGCTGATTCTTTGGAGTAAAATTTAATAATTTTTAATTATAAATCTCTTTATCATCATGAATTATTGCATTTACGAGATAATAATATTCATTATTAATCTAAAGCTTGTACTTTGTTGAGAAATCATTGATTTTGTTTTTTTTTTAATTTATCTAATTATCAACAATATTTTTTGTCGATCGATTCATCTTGGCCGGCCATAAATACCGGCTGTTACCCGTCAAGTGAGTTCCGACGGCCAACAGAGTAGGGTTTAGAAGGAGGTCTTAAAAATGTAGAGCTTCGCACCATCAAATGTGAAATCAAATATTCGAAACTCCGACCCCACCACTAATCACCATTACTTCAAAAGTTCGAACTGCCTTTCATGATTCGCAGCGTGACTGCCGAAAGCAATTTTGTCCAAGTTATTAAAAAAGAACAAAAGGAAGCCTTTTTCATGGACATGCAACGCAAACCTCGGCTTTTCGATGCCCTTTAAGATGGATATATAATTGATGTGATCGGGACAACAAATTCTTCATTCTCCATCCACAAGAAAAATCGAACCGGAGATCGATCGATATGGAGAAGAGCAGGTCATATCCCCGCTACTCGTCCCAATTAGGGTGCGAAGATCAAACAAATCCGTACTCGTACACATTCAATGGCCCGATGGGTCAAATGAATTCGGGCACGTTAAATGAGCCAGAAATGAAGAGGAAGAAGAGAATCGCTGCGTATAATTTGTTTACGAAAGAAGGTAAAGTTAAAGCATCTGTACGAGACAGTTTCAAGTGGATCAAGACCAAAATCAACCATGTTCGCAACAGTTTATAGTCTGATCCTCATCATCATCATCTCTTTGTACTAATAGTTTCTGTCTTAATTTGTTTTTAGATCTACTTTCTTTACTTTGTTTTATGTTCATGTATAAAAAAAAATTTAAAAATCAAAAAATCAAAAGGATTCTTGATCAAACAATCAGAAAGGTTATACTTCCCTTTATTCAGACATGTTTAATAGTAAAGAATTAAAGCCTAATCATCAACAGAATACTGCTTAAGTTGGTTCTTGTTTTGCAAACCTCGGAATTCTCGAGTGGATGCAGACCTTTGTACATTATTCAATCTATTTGCACCGTCAGATTTCGTATTATAGTTGTTTGTATTTCCTCTAGCTGTGGGTAACGGGGCCCGGTTCTTGGTATTATTGTTAACATTGGAATGCACTTCTGTTCTTGGAGACGTGTTTATGTTCGGGGAAGGAAATAATCGAGGAGGCGAATCCTCTTCTTTCGCTTGTGGCTTTACACTCGTAGAGGAAGTACTCGTCGAACTACTTCCAGGTTCTAAGCCGAAAACCGATGTGTCTGCCTTCTTCTCCACTTCCTGATTAGAGGCTTCGGCATCGACTTTTGCTATCTCGGTAGATGGATTCTTCTTCCTCTGATCTCTCAGTGATTGTGAGCGACGCCTCGATTTAGAAGTTCTATGCCTGTATATGTAATAAGGATTACAAAGTTGTCAACCTTTCTGTAAAATCGAGACATTTTTCTGTGTGTTTATATATATATATATATATGAACAAGAACTTACTTTCTCCTCTCGTTTATTGGAGCATGGTCGTCTTCTTCAGTGTGGATCTTAGGTAGACCTGAAACATCGCACGCTAGAGGGCTCGTATGAAAGTACTGCAAAAAACAAAATTACGTCTCCAACGATTTTTTTCAAGAATATGTAAATAAAAAAAAAAGCATTACTAGCTAGCCTTGTTTGTCGAATTAATACCTCGTTTTGCAGAGCAGAATTTGCGGTTCCGCGATTTCCAGGATCTAACGAAAGAAGGATTTTCAAAAGACCTAACGAATGCGAAGGGAAGTTTCTGAAAGCTTCCCTAAAGCTCGACTTGTACGCTTGTGCAGGTTTAAGTTGTGCCGAAAGCTTAAATCTTTTAAAATAATCATCCGAAGGTGTACCGCATAGCTTGAAAATCCTATGTAGCTGTTCAACCTGAGTCGATTACATGTCATTAGCTATCGATAAAAAAAAGACTGGCGAAAAAAAAAAACAGGCGGCGTTACCTCAGTTCTTGCAGGCATAATCGGCCTTCCGGCCAACATCTCAGCCATAAGACAACCGGCGCTCCAAAGATCAATACCTATTCCGTAATCATTACAACCTAAAAGCAGCTCGGGTGCTCTGTACCAAAGCGTCACGACTCTGCTAGTTAAAGGATGTCTTTTAACGGGATCAAAGAAATTCGCAAGCCCAAAATCCGCAATTTTCAAGATCCCGTTTTTATCGATCAGCAAATTCGATCCCTTAATATCTCTGTGGAGAATACCGTGCTCGTGGCAATGCTGGAGGGCTGAAAGCAGCTGCTGCATGTAGCACTTGATTTGTGGCTCTGATAATATCTCGTCAGGTCGAGATATTATTTTGGTTAAATCGGAGTGCATGTATTCGAAAACCAAGTAGATGCTGTACTGCATTCTTGAAGTGGCTAATCCTTGAAGCTTTATTATGTTCGGATGATCCAATTTCTGAAGAATCATTATCTCTCTAGCCATGAATTTCACGCTCTCCGGTTCCGTGGTGTCGAAACGGACTTTTTTTAGTGCCACGATTTTGCCTGTGGATTTGTCTCAAACTTAGTACACATTGCTGTAAGTTCCTTGCCCTACCTGCAAAATTTTTATTTCAAGAAACTCATGATTTTATTCTCATCATTCTTTTGAAAATAAAATTTTGGATTTTTTTATTTTTTTATTTTTTTATTTATAAACCTTGTCGATCTTGTCGTAAGAATCAGCGCTCTTCGGGACTATGTTACTCAGAGCATCTCTTGGAATATTCCGAACAAGCCACTTTGGCCAACCATCAACTAGCTGGTCTTCTTCTTCTTCGGTGGACTTCTTTGTCGTGTCGTCGACCCTGTTTGAATTCACACTGCCGTTATTTACGTGATCGCCGTTGCTGTTGCTGCTGCTGCTGCTATTAAGCATGACTTTCCCTTCTTTTCCATTACTTAAATAAATCACATTACCATTTCTTGATTCTTGCTTCAAGGCCGGCTTTCTTGATTCCGTGTCGAAACGACCCTGACCCTGACCCGTTGACTTTCTAGCCCGGATATAGCCTCCGTTGATCGTATTTCCATTATCGACCCGCCGAGGTGGGGAAATCTTAGATGGTTGGGCACTCTGAGCAGATCCCATTTTGCCAAATAATTAAGTAAATTTGATATGTTCTAGTGTAGACAAAAATATATATTTGAATTCTTGAATATATTTATGTACAATATTATTAAGGAAAATAAGACATTTGTAATGAAATGAGGCTGATATTATATAAGGCCGGCCGGCCGGCAGTGATGAATTAGGAATATTGAAGTTAATATGCCGAGTATTTAGGAGGATATTACTTCTTAATTAATGATTTAATATTTAATTAATAAAGATAAATTTTGAAGAGTTCTTTTTTATGCTTAGCTTCTTCCGCTGAATATGAGGGCATCATCAACAGCTAATGTCATTTGCGAACTGGATTTTTCACTTCCTACCAAAAACAAATCATATTTTCTTCCTTCTCTTATTTTGTTCTTTCTTGCATGTGCTTCCATTCATATATTTTCTAATAATAATGCAATTATTATCTTACTATACGAATAATGTAATTAACAATTATTTAAATGATAATAACTAAGATCATTACTCATTAGTAATGTGTTACTCTCTCTCTCTCTCTCTCTCTCTTTCTCTCTCTGTGTGTTTTATAGTTGGGCTTTTTTCAGTCGGCCTGTTAAGCAAATGAGGGCCAAACCAAACTCAATTGGGCCTTTACTTTAAAGCCCGTTTCATCACATCATAAAAAAAAGAAAGTAAAAAAGTAAGAAAAAACACGATTAATAAATAAAATACTGGTATTTTTTTTAATAAAGTATGAGAGATTAGAGAAATTGTTCAAGAAAGAGAAATTGAATAAAAATTACACACAACAAAATAGGGCAAATTACGACCACCTCCCTGAGATAAGATCAAATTACGAATAAACTCCCCATCAACTATGTACTGTCTTATGAAAAAACCATCATTCAATAAGTAAAATTGACACTGTAAGAGTGAACGTGTAAATTTGATGGGACTGATTGTAATTACCCAAACATGACGAGTTTTTTCGTAACTTTATCGTACCACAGAGGGTGACCGTAGTTTGCAAAAAAAAAAAAACAAGGTTTTACACAAGGTGGGAAAGGTATGAAGAAAAGAGAAGGTATTGATTGATTCATTTATTCAAGATCCAGAATACCGAAGTTTGAGAGAAGGATTTTAACTTGATCCACAAAATCTGATCCCGTTGCATACTCTGTCAACATTCCCACAGCAAAACCAAACATTGCCCACCTGTTCATACATTACATTTTATTTATTTTTTTCATATTAAAATAAAAAAATAAAAAATAATATATATATATATAATTACCTGCCATTGGAAATTTCATTCTTGCCAATGAAGCCAAAGAAGGGGCCTTGATTAGCTTCCTCGAGCTTCTTCTTCTTGAAATATTCTTGAAGCTCTTTGGCTTTCTGCCTCTGGAACTCCATGGTAACCGAACTCTTATATTCCGCCGCATTAGCCGCCACCGCCACAGGCTTGGGAGGCGACGGCGGCAGAGGAGGAGAAGCCGATGGCAGCACAGGCTTTACCGGTGCAGGGGCCACCGGTCTTCTAAGCGGACCCTCAGCTTGAGAGCATCTTATGCTAAATCTTACGGTATTGGACGAAGAACACGAAGACGAAGGGTTAGAGAATCTGATACGTGGGAATGAAGGAGATGATGCAATTGACATTTCTTTTTCTGTGAGTTTCTGTTCTATTGTTTTTCGTATGGATATTCTGTAATTCTGTACGGCTACAATTTGGATGTTGGCTAGAGAGGGAGAGAGAGAGAGAGAAGGAAGATTGTGAATCAGTGATAGTTTGGGAAGTGGGGACATATGCATTGTGGATAAGATGTAGCCAAGTAGTTAAATGTCAATTGCATAAACTGCTACAAGAAAAGAAAAAAAAAATATTTAATATATAATAAAATGGGAATTCAACCGGTCGAATTCCCATTTTTTGAGCCCCAAATAACGTGCACGGGTTTTCGAATAATTCTACTCCATATTGACAAAAACTACAGAATACAATATAAGAATTTTCACCAAATTGAAATAAACAAACTAGGAACAAAAGAGGGAAGAGCCCATTGCCAAAACATGAATATCATCAACTAGTGAAAAGATTTAAGCCCAAAAGCAAACAAAATTGGAATATGCAAGAAAGAATAGACACATATCAAAATCATCAGCCGAGGCGGGTGTGGGTATCTTGTTTCACCATGAGAGATGATGAGGTGGCGCTTCGATGTTTGCATTTCAAGCTATACACCTCATATAGGTTGCCTCGTAAAAAGTTGGAAAAACTTCATACTACATTATCCGGCATGAACAAGATTGTTCATTCCCATGGCCAAATTCATCGTCCGATCCATCTTCACTGAAGATCACATAGATTGTTTGATTAGTTAAGGGGGTTGTCATATTTAACGGAAGCTTAAAGAAATAACAGAAAATCAAACATAACAAGAAACAAGGCTACAAGGTAAAGAGAGTTAACGAAAGCAGGAAAGATAGACTTTGTATCTCATGCTACTTTTTGCATACAAGCAAGTCAACAAGCATGGAAAAAAATTCATTCCTTAATTATTAATATTTGTATTCAATATATCAATTAGTCATCATAAGTTTTCGTACCTCATTTCAAATTCCCGAATCTCAAAAAGCTCTCCTCCCATTGTATCTGTCCACTGCACTTTCCTCCTCTCCGTTTCATAAGCATCAGCAGCGGCATTATTTTCACATACTGTTTCACGTTCATCGTTCTTTCCACCACCACCAGCACTACCAGTTGAAGCTATTGGAGCGCTATTTGATGCTTTCTTCAAGCTACTCTTGAGGCTAACTATATTCCTCTTACCATCATCATCACCACCATCAACAACAACAACACAACCAGCTGAAATTTTTGCATCTTTACTCTCGTCGAAGATTGGAGATTCGGGCAAGACATCTTTGTTCTGTGTGGGTCCCACTTTCAGAGGAGACGGACTCTCGATAGCAGGGGCAGCGCAACCAAAACAACCGAAGGAGGCGCACCCACGGACAGGCCGGTTCTTACCAGAAGCCAGTTGGAAATTAGGATCGGTGTCTTGGTCCACCAACTGGTACTGATTCCACGGTGTCACTCTCATGGGTTTCTCTTCGTTTTTATGACCCAATAAAAGAAGGGTCAAGCCCTTACTATACCCTGAAGCTGAAGAAGAGAAAAAGCCTCCTCCTTCTACTGCAAATAACATCAGTTCTTCTCATCTGAGCACCGCCCAGCCACTTTCTTTCATTCAACACTGCAGTTCATCTGCCATGTGTAATCAATATCAGATATCACTACATAGGTCGTAGTATTTGAATTTTGAAAGCACAAAATCAGAGGAAATTTCCCCCATTTAAAGAAGCGTTGCTACAAAAAAAAACATCAAACTTCTAATTAACACTACTATGCTATACTACAGATTGATGTAAATTCGCAACGAGACAGATTTTCAATTCAAATTAATCCAGAAAATATTCTTCTCAACAGTTGGAAGTAATTCTCGAAGACTTGTGATCCGACACCAAGGTAAAATGCATAAACATTGAAGATCAACTACAGAAAGATCTCAAAACACAAAGCAGGTTAAAATACAAATACCAACTGGATTCACACATTCAACTAAATATAGGATCGAAGAATTCACATTATCACCTAGAAACCTGTTTATAAAGTTGAATTCCTCCAACAAAATCACACTTTTTGAACAATAACCAGCTAACCACACTTTAATAAACAATTCAGAACAATATCCAGTATAGTATCCAGCTATATATTCGAAGATCTCAGAAATCTAACTTCAGTAACTAATTACTGAGTCCAAGCGAATCAACTCGCACATATGGTGTATTGCAGAAATTATAGCTAAAAATGCTAAACGTGAATAGGCGAAAAAAAAACATACAGATCTGAAAGCGATCTCCGGCTACTGTTCACCGGACTGAGTACTGCAACTCCGACTGCGCAGAAACTCCGGCTGTGAATTTAAGCAGGATAATTACTACTGCAAATTAGACACAAAGATTGATTGAATAATTTGATTTTTTTAAGGACGAGAAATTTCAATTTATTAATGTATATTTTAGGGAGAAGGAGAGAGATTGGAGTGAAAGAGCGAGAGTGAGGGAGATGGATTGAGAGAAGCGAGTCTGTAACTCAGTGACATAGTAAAGAAATTGGAAAGATTGTGGAAAGGGATAATTCGGAGGAGGGGTTAAAACTTAAAAGCCGGGATAGTGACCCTGCGCATGATAGCGATGGGCCCTCTTCCGATTTTGACGGTAATTTATATTTTCTAAAAATAAATAGCAATTTACCAAATTGCACTTGAAATTTAAAAAAAATTAATTATTTTTCTATATAAAGATAATTCATTGTTATAAATCACTAATTAAGAGGATAATTTATTAATTTTCATAAGGAAAAATATCATACTAAACATGAGAATATTACTTTTGCAGTTATGCGTTTTCTATTTTTAACTTTAAATAATGGAATTATGTATTGAGGGTTTTTCTTAAGTGAAATTACAATTATAACCTCAGAACAAAATTTTGTTTTTGAAAATTAGAGAAACTCTAATATCACTTATGTTGAGGATTGATGGGTTATTTGTTAAGTTCTACTAATAAAACTTTGCATGTGTAACAATAATCACATTGTTAAGCTTTTAAGAAAAGGTTGGGTGGGGGTGGGATGGGGGTGGGAGGGGGGCTAATTGAAAAGAGAAAGTTTGCTTTTGTTTTGCTTTTTGCAATGAGGCTGCTTTTATCTTTCATGAGCACTACTTTCACTACTTTTCTTTGTCCATGTTTTTATTGTGTTAATTAATTTTAGTTATTAAGTAAGAAGAGTTGTAACGATTTTCTTGGGAAACATTTTCAGAGGACGGACTTTCTTGATTAACAAAGTCAAGGAGTTTATTGACTTATCAAGAACATCCGTTGAAAAGATGCACTAATATATTAGGAAATGTGACTTTTGTGAGTAAGTGAGAGGAATTTCTTTTTTTTTTTTTTTTTTTTAGCTTTAAGGCATGGACCAAGTAGTATTATTTGTCCTATTGCTGTTTTGATTAGGGTGTCTAAAAGTGGGATTAAACATTATTAAAAGGAGATGCATGAAATGGATTTATCTAACATGGATATTGGTCTTCTAGGGAATTTTTCTAGAGATTTTGGAATTAATTATCGGAGCAGCTCGTCAACTATAATTAGGTGGTGTTTGCAAAATAATTTAGAAACATATTCTGAGCTTTTTTTGCTCATATTTTGTCTTTAGTTGTTTGCAAAAACAGCTTTTGCTTATGTTGTAATTTAAAAGTACTAATAGACTTGCATTTTCAGTTTAATTTGATTTTTCAGTATATGTGCAAACACGAAATAATCACTAACTTGTGCGTTCAAATATTTTTTTTACAAACGCCACCTTAATCAGCAAGTATTTTTCAGGATACCGAAAGTTTTAGCCTTTGAAGGAAAATTATTCACAATTGAGAAATATTAATTAAAAAATAAAAATTAGGGTTTTATTTTGGGGAGTGGCAATTAACGAAATCTATTGGTATATTAAATACCCACCTAGGTATCAGTACTAAAATTATGATCTAACTTTGGTTAGGAGTTCATTTCTTGGAAATGCCCACAATCCTCCTCAAAATTAGTTTCATTGGAAATGCAAGCTTATAAATTATAATAGTAATTATATGGAACAAATGCTTACTCGAATTAAGAGACATTTAAAATGAAATAAAGAGGGAGTTTTAAAAAGGGTTCTTAAATGCAGGAAAAGAAATTTACTATAATTATGAAATATATGCAACAAATTCTAATAATTGAAGGTATAGTTCTCTCAATAGTCATTTTTTTTTCCTCACCATGTGCATGAATTGATGCATGTTAGCTAAATGTATAAATAGATCTGACAGACTGACATCATCATCGGAAAAATACATAAAATTTACTCGACTATACGTATCACTGTCGCTGCGTAAAATTGGTATAAAATATACAAACGATATTTCGATCAATCGATCAAGCAACAAATAATTCAGCCTTGCCATCAATGAAAAGGCTCATGAACTCTTCACCATCAACAGTTTCTTTCTCTATGAGCAGTTGAGCAAGCTTGTGCAGAATGTCTACATGGGTTGTGATTATCTGCTTTGCCCTACTGTACGCCGTATCGACCAGCTCCCTCACTTCTGCATCCACCACATCTGCAGTTGCCATTGAGTAATCTTTCTGGCTCGACATCTGCAATTACATATATATTTTTTTTATAATTCAACGAATATTTCCGTGATCAAGAATGTAATAAATAAATCGGAACAAGTTGAAGAATATTTTCAGGCACGGCACCTGTTGACCGAGGAAGGGATCTCCACCGCCTCCTCCAATCGCCACCTGTCCTATTTTCTTGCTGAAACCAAATCTCTCAACCATTTGCCTTGCAACTCTCGAAACTTGCATAAAGTCACTTGATGCTCCCGTTGTTACATTGTCTTGTCCGAATATAACCTCTTCAGCAATCCTGAATTACGAAAAAAATTAAAGAGTGTTATTATTTTTTTAGTTCAATAATGTATATTCAACCGAAAGGACTGAAGGGCAAAACCGACCTTCCACCAAGAGCAACCGCCATCTGATTTTCTAGGTAGCTTCGGCTGTACAAACCCGACTCGAGCCTCTCTTCACTTGGAGCAAAGAATGTAAGTCCGCCAGCTTGACCACGGGGAATAATCGAGATTTTAGCAACTGCGTCATACTCCGGCATCAAAGCACCAACTAAAGCATGACCAGCCTCTAAAAAAATTTTAAAAAAATAGATTTAAGACAATCATTATATTACGATTTCCGAGCAAAAAATGAAAATCGATTTTTTTTTTACCATGATAAGCGACGAGCTTCTTCTTATCTTCAGAAACGACGGCGTTTTTCTTCTCGGGACCAGCAATGATTCTCTCGAGTGCGTCAGATATTTCGTCTTTGCTAATCTCCTTAAGCTCACGTCTTGCTGCAAGTATGGCTGCTTCGTTCATTAGGTTTTGTAAATCTGCTCCTGTGAAACCTGGTGTTCGTCTTGATACCTTATCAAAGTCAACATCTTTTGCGAGTGCCTTCCCTCTCGAATGCACCTGAAAAGAAAAGAAAAAAAAAACCCCATCATTCGCAACAAAAAACTCCGAAAAAGAAAAGCAAATACACACAAGAAACAGCAAAAAGTAGGCCAAATCAGATATAACTAACTAACTAACCTGAAGAATCTTGACTCTACCAGCAACATCGGGCCTATCAACAGTGACCTGTCTATCAAACCTCCCAGGCCTCAACAAAGCCGAATCAAGAACATCCGGTCGGTTAGTAGCCGCCAGTATAATAACACCCGAATTACCCGAAAACCCATCCATTTCAGTCAAGAGCTGATTAATCGTCTGCTCTCGTTCATCATTCCCACCCCCCATACCCGCCCCCCTCTGCCTCCCCACAGCATCAATCTCATCAATGAACACAATGCAAGGCGCCTTCGCCTTGGCCTTCTCGAACAAATCCCTCACCCTAGAAGCACCTACACCAACAAAAAGCTCAACAAATTCCGAAGCGGAGCACGAGAAAAACGGCACCCCAGCCTCACCAGCCACCGCCCTGGCCAACAGCGTCTTCCCGGTTCCCGGCGGGCCCACCAGAAGGCATCCCTTCGGAATCTTCGCACCCAACGCGGTGTACTTATCCGGGTTCTTCAAGAAATCAACCACCTCCTGCAGCTCCAACTTCGCTTGGTCGGCACCCGCCACGTCAGCAAACGACACACCTGTTTCCGGAACTTCCTGGAACTTAGACTTCGACCGGCCGAACTCCATCGGCCCACCCATTCCTCCGGGCCCGCCCGCCCCTCCCTGCGACTGCCTGAACAGAAAGTAAAGCCCACCAAAAGCAAGCAATGGGAAAACCAAATTCCCGAGAAAACCAAACAGCCCATTCCCCGAATCGCCCTCCGACACAGTGATGTCAACTCCGTTCATGGCTAAGATATCAATCAAGTCAGGGTCGTTGGGGACCACCACGGCGGCTTTCCGGCCATCGACAGCTGTCAGCTGAAGTATACCTCCTTCTTTATTGAACCTAACTCTTTCAACCTTCCCTTTCTTCACTGCGTTCAAGAATTCGCTGTAGCGCCACTGGGTGCCATCGGGTATGTCGGGTGCGGGCTGGGCTTGCGGGTTCGGAGCGTTTAAGGTTAGATTCTGGGCAACGGGTGATTGGAGAGGGGATTTCTGGGCTTCGATTTCAATTACTTGTGGTGCAGGGGAGGGTGGCGGGATGTTGTTGTCTAGTGCAAAAGCTTGCGGGGTGATTGAGGAGAAAATAAAAGCGGCCAGAGCTGCACGATTGATTGCGTTCTGTGATTTGTTTGAATTTTTGTGGTTGAGAAGTGATTTTGGTACTGCTGCGAATCTCTTTGGGACTGTTTTGGGTGTTGGGGGAGAGATGAAGATTTGGGTGCCGAAGAATTTTGAGGAGAGTAATGGGTTTGTTAGTGTTGACGCCATGGAAGAAAGCTTTTCTGTGGGTTTTTCCGAATAATGGAAGTTCGTAGGGGGTACTTGTAAAAAGGGAGAGGAGTGTGAAAATTGCAGGTCAAGAAAGGTATGGGGAAAATGGCGGAATTACGATCGAGAGGAAGCCATTGATTGGAATGGTGTTGCTTGAGTTCTTCTACGTGGGTTGAATTTTATCCACTCGTAGAGAGTGAGTGCGGACACAATATCTTCTTTTCTTGTTTTTCTTTTTTGTTTTTTTCCGCCTTGTGTTTGCTGGCAATAGTATATACGCAGAATGCCAAATCATTTGGCTCACTCATTATGTAAGCTGTAAAAATTAAAAGGACGGTCACTACGCATGATCAAAGTATGAAAAAAATATCTCTCATATTCGAGTAATTACAAGTTATAATAACCCTTCAACTATGCTTGTTTCGCGTCTACTTTCATGGTGTTTTTTTTTTTTTTTTTTTATAATTCTTTCATGGTGTCAAATGCAACATAACATAATCTTCTAAATTTCGTGAAATGTTCAAAATGTGAAGCTCAGTTTGAGGTGCACCACAATCTGATATATACAAGCCAAGAGGCACATTTTATCTAGTTTCAAAATGTGAAACTCTAATGCAGTAACAAACTGAATAATATACATAATTTAGAAAATTCCACTAAATTTAACACCGTAATGACGAACATGTAAGAAGATTCATAGTTGATGAGGGTATTTACCATATACTCTATAGGGCACAAAAACTGCACAGTGAGTAAATGAAACCTGAGAGCTACAAAGCATTAAGAAATGAAATCTTGTAGATCAATGATTAATTTGTGGATTATAATCACAATTTTCCACGATGAGGATTAGTACTAATTTACTTGTCAACAAGGATTATAAATAATCGAATTGCTATCTACCCAGAGACAAGTCCAGCCTAATCAGCAATAATTCTAAAACATATGATGTACAATTAATTTCATAACATAATTTCATTTGTCTACAAGTCAGTTAGATATAGTAGGTTAACTAAAGATTCCTCCTGTTTTTCTTTGTCTACACATACACTAGCTGATGCCAATTAGATACCTTCAACCCATTTCTCAAGACTCAAGTTGTATTCATCAGTGTTTAAACAATTTAATTTCACAGAAAAAGATGAATTCGAACCCGGTGACCAACTCAAAAAATTCTGAAAAATTATAAATCAGAAATAAATCGGTTATTACTTGCTACAACTCGGCTGTGCGATAGTTTGATGATTTCTAACTTAATCATTTCCAGATCTACCTAGGTTGTCAAGATTCGCCTTGTCCGTAAAACTACCAACCAATAAACGGGTAAAAACAGACATTTTCTATGATCTCAAATCTCAATGAGCGATAATTTAACCCGAGTCAACTGAACTCTTATAACCCGAGTAGCATTAAATAGAGTGCATGAATGTTGACATACGAATAATTAATGTCGACAGCAGCCGTGCACACAACTGTATCCGAATGAATCTACACATGCGTGCACATCAGAGAAATTCGACATTAATTATGGCTCCCATGGCAACAACAAGACCAACATTTTTTTATTCAGACTAGGCTGGATAACCAACAATCCCTACAAATCCGATCTGGATATTAATGAGTATATATATCTCTAACAACAACAATAATAATAATACCTATGTAAGTTGTCTGATATCATCAACCTTATTTTACATACGATGAGTGGGTTGATGAGATGCTTCAAATTTGAATATTACTAAGGTGGGGTTACGAGTTCTTAAATGGTCCAACACAACCAAATATCTTTCTTTTTTTACATTTAAGGAAGCTTCCATGTTAGAGAAACCGAAACTTCCTGCTACAGTATTACAATTCACCAGATAACTATTTACGTATGCGTAAATACAAAAATATCACGATTTTCATTTTTCAACATATGCAACCGATTTGGACGATAAAAATGAAAATTATCCCACAAGACAAAGATTTGCAGACGCTGATCGTTCACTTGGAAATCATTTGACATTTACAAGTTTATCAACTCCATATTATTTAAGACCAACACATGTGGGAAATAATATATACGTGGAAGTGAGGAAGTTTCTTTCGGTTCGTAGATGTAAGGACCAAGGATACTTCCTTGACCGTTCACACATTTAAAATACTCATTTTAAAATATCAAGTTTATATATATATAAAGCCCCCCCATTTATTCTCTTTACCATTCAACCAAATAGCAGAAATCAATCATATACTAAAATCCAAGAGCACAAGAATTACCTCACTGGATAATCAACGGCTGCTGTTTGATTTGATCTTTCAATTTTTCCTGTTTTTCCTATTTCAAACAAAATCGAAACCGAAATAAATCATCTGATTAAAAAAAAAAAAACAGAACAGGATTTGAATTTTTGTGTAGAGATGTCGAGATCCGACCTTGATTTTGATTCTCTAAGAGAGTTGCATGATTCAGTGAACAATTTGCTTCACTCGCCGCGCACGAAGCTCGAGATCATCGACCACGGGCAGGAGAAATGGGCGCACGAGGTGTCTGAGGCGGCGTTAAAAATGGCGGACTCGTGCGCCGCCGCGAAGGACCTCCTCCTACTAGTGAAGGACCACCTCCACAACCTGCGATCCGCCTTCCGCCGCATCGCCGCCGATCACAGCGGGAACCTATTCGCCCCCTACCGCCTCCCACGGAAGCAGCTCAAAAAGGCGATCCTGAAGAGATTAGACTCTCTCAAGGGGGTGAAAAACACGCGCGCCGCCGCACTGCCGCCGCAGGAGGATCAAAACCTAGTGGTGGTGGTCAATTTGCTGACGGAAGTGAGATCCACCACTTTGTCGATGGTCCAATCGCTGTTGTCGCTCATCGCGTTGCCGAACCGGGAAGGGAAACCGGATTTAGGGCGCAAGGAGCAGCATGTATTTAGGCTTAAACTGACGCGCGTGGATAGCCTGGGTTTCTGGGAGAAATGCGGCGCGTCGGATGTACGATCGGCGGCGAAAAGGCTGGAGAATGGAATGTATTTCCATGATTCTTTGTTAGAAGAGGGCAAAAATATATGTCTACTATTATTCGAATAAGCAATGCTTCTGGATTTGATTTTTAAGTGACAAATTGTTTTTGTTTTTTCTTTTTTTTAAAATGCCTATTAGCTAAATCTGGTCGATTGAACTTCTAATTAATTAATAACACAAAACTGGCATCTAAACAAAATAACTAATAATCCGAGCCAACTGCTGGTGGCCGTGGGTGAATTTGTTATATTGTATTATTGTGATATCGCGACCATAATCATTTGTACCGGGTGCCAGATTCTCTTCACCAAACATAAAATTATCTCGAGGGGGGACAATTAAATAGAAGAACTTAAGCATGGAAATATGGTTCTAGGGAGGGTAGAAGGATCAAAGGAATGATAATTAAATTCAAAACCATTTTAAATTTAGCTCAAAAACTGAAATTAAGATCAAAATCCCTCCATGTAGGATTCCACATCAAATTTTTATTAGGATAAATTACAACCACCTCCCCAAGATAACATGCAATTACATAAAAATCTCTTATTTTTGAGAATTTACATCCAGCCCCATGCAGTTCTACATTTCTTACATACACCCCCTACGAAAGGATATTAATGTAAGAAATTTACAAATTGCAGTAGGTGAATGTAATTATGAAAAAATGATCGGTTTTTTCAGTAATAAACCTTAGTCAGGGGGCGTTTGTAATTTACCCTTGTTATTAATCATGATAGCATAGACACCCCAATAAGCAATAACCAATATGCGACCGGTCAACCCACTTTAATTGACCAAATAGTTGGTGAGCAACTTCCTTAATCAAATTCCCATTGTCAGCTTTCTATATCTTTTCATCTTCGGCGGCTGACTCAACGTTACAAAATATATTCTTGCTTTCTTATGGGAATATAGAGTAGAATTTTCTTTTCGTTAACAAGAATCATGTTAAACAAAGGGAAATAAATAACAAAATACTGGCACAAACATAATAGGAAAACACACAGCATCGAATAATTGTTCACTGATACAATGTTAGACGACTTATCTTTAGTCGTCTTATTGTACACAACTTTTAGATACCCCCACAAATGTCCATTCACACCAAGAAAAGATCGTGAGAATTGCTTCACGGTCCACATAAGCATCACTGAACCACAATTCTGCAAAAGTAGATGGGCCAAATCGGGCATTCATAACCAAAATACAATAGGTTTTCGCATTTACATTTGATGGATACATCAAACTTGACATGCAATGCATATTCATGACACATATGCATCTGCTGTGACATGTGACGCACATTCAGATACCACGTACATAAAAGTTTCAAGCAATAAGCCCACATGACGAAAGAAGAAAGATGATAACCATTCCGCCGAATTCTGGTAAATTTATTTTCAAACAAAATGATGATTTGTGAGAAGTAAAATCCAAATAACGCAGTTCGCGGGGAATATAGTAACATATGAACCCTATGTAACACTTCACTAAATTCCACAGAGAAGCTTAAATAGCCCCATATTATAATCCGCACATACTACCCGATACTCCAACTTTCACAGACCCACTCAGATCTTACTTCAGCCACTTGCAGATAACTCACTTATAGTTCAATCGGAATTCTCATTACAATACAAATCACGAACACAAGCATCCACCACAAGTGACTATGGACTAAAACCAAGTTCAGACCAACGTTAACGGTACAGACAGCAGTATCAATCTATGCTTAAGGTGGATACGAAAGAAAAGGTGTACACACTCTGATTTCTTACAGTTTAAAGTGTGCCTAAATCTCATAACTTAACAAATAAACTTACCATATATATCCCCACGAAGTGGCAGGCCTATAGGTTTGCACAAGTGTACAGTAGGATGGTATTGTCAAGTGTATTCCCTTAATTATATATTTTCAATACTTTGGGGTTTGAGTTGCAAAAGTTGGGCTAATGCATAGTCTTTTCAAGAAAACAAATAAATATACTCACAATTATCACATTATTTATTAAGATAATCACAAACTTCACAAGCATGGAGTTGAATTGGATGTAACATGCATGATATCCATAGATTTAGCACCGATCGAGTCCAAACTCAAAAATTGGATGAAAATAAAGAATTACCTAGTGATGATCACCGTCATGGCCATCCCAAGGATGCCTCCAGCCCTAAAAGCATGAAATTACTTCAGAATATCATTCAAGTATGCTACTTTAAAGTACAATACCGATATGAAATAGAAAGACTCACCAACACCACAGGACCATCTTGCTTTGCCCTATAGAGAACCCAAAACCTGAAAAATACAATATGTTAAAGATATAACTCATAAGAAACTCAAAGCCATACGCAGACATGTAAAAACTCATATCGATAGGCATCAAGCAATCACATAAAACACTTCTTAGAAGACATTCATTATAAGAATATGGGACACAAACATTTGATTGGTAACAAAAATATTGCAAGCTCTTAATTGTAAAAACTTTCTACTTTAAGGCATTGTGATTTGTGAGTGAAGATCAAAGCATTGGATCTTGTTAATAGGGTTGGGTATTTTATATCATGTGAAAACAATAAAAATGCTGATCGAATCTATTCTAAGAGCGAAATTCCACATCTCTCACACATCCACATATAAGAGTATTATAAATATTAAATGATGAGATAAAGAGTAATCACGAATATATTACACAGAGATCACTTCAGCGCTCTACATATAAAACTACACATGGATCTACTCTCGCTCTTAACAAACCCAGCCCCACACACGAATCAATCACTCATACCTGGTTTTTTAATTTCTACACTCTCACAGAAAATGGTCAGTTTTTTGACTTCTATATGGATATTCAGCTGGGCAATTTAGAGGGAGTCTTT